AAAACCATCTGGTCCAGGGCTTTTCTTGGTTGGAAGTTGTTGTATTACCTTTTCAATTTCTTCTTTTGTAATGGGTCTGTTCAGATGTTCAGTTTCGGTTTGTGTCAGTTTAGGTAGGTTGTGTTTTTCTAAGTATTTGTCCATTTCCTCTAGATTTTCATATTTGTTTGGGTATATCAAAATTGACACAGTCTTATCAATAAGATTACTGGCTAACAGCCTCCCAGACAGATTGAAGGAAGTAGACTACAGGGCTGGGACAGTTGGCCCACACACAGCAGAGATTGTGAGGCTAACACAGGCCTTGGCACTGTTTTGTTTTGTTTTACTCTGAAGTTGGAACTGACAGGCACTCGCCAACAGCATATGTCATTTAAATGTTTTAAAACCAGATAGCAAGTTACTGTGTACCTTTCAGTCTTAGTCCTTTACTGTGGAGAACAAGAATAATAAATTTACCCAAAATGGTTGTTTTAAAAATTATTTGAAACAGTGTTGGTAAAGAATTTAGTACTTGTTGTCTGTTATCTAGTTTAAGCAGGCAAAAATAACACTGTTTACATCATTATGATGCAGGATTTTACAAATTATTCCCTAGATGACAGGGAAGGTAATACTTCTATCCCCCTATTCCTTTTATTACCAAAACTGAGTTTTATTTTGTGTTAAAACTTGCTAATTTGCTAGATTTAAGTGGTATTTTTTTTGTTTGTTTTAATGCATATTTTTATCAGTAGTTATAAATTATTTTTCAAAAGATTTTATGGATATTTGTATTGTTTTCCTTGGTGAATGGTCTTTGTTCAATTTAATAAATTGATTTTAATTAAAATGATAAAGAAGATAAGTTTTATATTTTTAACTGGTAGATTTTTATTAATTTTAATAATATTTGCAAAATTGTATATAATACATGGGTAAACTAAGGAATTAGGACTTTGTAAAATCTAAATTATCTGAGTGTGATATTTAATTATTTATGTTTTAGTGTAAAGTTTATTGAAGGCGTTGTGGTCCAGTTACTAGAGGAAGATGATTCAGTGGTGGGAGTTCAGTACAGGGATAAAGAAACTGGAGACATCAAGGTAGGATTTATGAAAATCTTTTATGAAGTTTTTTTTTTTGACTGGAGAAAACTATAGTTTTATAATTGATACTTATATAGAGAATTCTAAACTTATTCTGAACCTACCATTCCCCCCTCTTTTTATATAAAGTCTTATATCTATAAGATGAACATCTGGATTGATTCTTGGGGGAGTTATATGTGGGTTCCCCATTTTGTAAAAGGGTGCAGACTCTCTGGCTGCTTCATGCTGAACTGGGACGTTGAGATGGAGGGGAAGGGGAGCCCACTTTTAACTCTTCATTGGTGGTCTTGAGTTCAAGCTGAACGCCTTCTTGTTCACTTAGAAAATATTCTCATGGCGTTATCTGACCTCTGAACTGCAAGATTTGTGAGGTTGAGTCCAATGGAAGTGGCTGGTTGAACCTTGCTTCCTTAGCTGGCAGTCTATCTCTGGAACGAGGCTCAGGGTCTGGAACAAACCTCAGTGTTCAGGTTACCTATAGGAAAGGGAGCAAACCTTTGGTGGTATTTCCAAAGAGAGCATTATCTGGAGGTGTCTGGTATTTTACAGTTGAAAGAGTCTGGCTTCTTGTGGGTCCAGCACTTCACAGTTAGCAACAGCTGGCTTCTTTTGAGCAATGATCTTTTCATTGTATATACAGATTGACCATTCTGTAGGGTGCTCTACCTCAGCTCCTCTCCAGGGTTTCGGCACCAGGATGTTAGGTCTTCGCACTGGACGTAAGGCCAAGGACCCAAGGAAAGGTCCAGACATGAAGATATTTTTTATAGTCTTCTTCATTGTATGAAGAGGTTTATCAGATTATTCCTCACATGAACTGATGAATCTTCAGATCACAGCATTGTTTTTAGAGCTCCTAAAATGTAGTAGATCTGTTAGCAAACATACTAAGATACATGTGAAAGGAACAGATGGAATGTGGGCATGGCTGTGGCTGACGTCTACCTGCTTCATAAAGGGGAACTCTCCCCAGCAATATTGTCTATAGCAGGGAATAGGTAGCTGCTTAGTCACGCATGCCACCTGCCATTCTCCTGCATCTCTTTCACCAGTAATTGGGTTCGGCTTGCGTTGTTGAGTCATAGACTTGACTTAAGTTACGGTACTGAGAGCGGAGGAGGCAAAGAATGGTATCCAGTGAAGTCCAGGATTTAGGCTAGTAGTCCCAAGGGACAGGCCCTCAATTAGTTGAAGCTCCAATTTTAGTTTCTTTCATCATACAGCAAAAACAGCAAAGCCTTTAACTGCCCTTTTATCTTGGGGCTCCTCTGGTTATACCTTGCCACAGTTTCTCCACAGCAGTGCCACAGTTTTTCCATCATACCAGTGTCTTACCCCCCAGGGTCTCTTACTTAATAGTGTCTTACTCCATTCTCCCTCAAATCTTGTTGCTCAGTGTGGGAAGCACTCTTTTTCTTGTCCTAGTCCCACAGCTGATGATATGCAAAACTATGTCTGCAGTTATGGTATCTGGAAACTAAAGATTGCTAACAGAATGGCTAGAAAAGCCAACTTTTAAGCTAACACTGCAGCTTGATAATAACATTATTAAAAAGTGAGGTGAAGACAAGGAAAAATGAATCCTGAAGAAAAGAAATTATGCTCATCTTAATGATCTCAAAATGATGATTTAAACAAAAGAGGGGGAAATGAGGGAAGCCGAATATCAAATTTACTAATAGTAGACCAAATGCTATATCAGGAAATGAATGAGGCTTAATACAAGCAGAAGGTCACCTTGTGGCACTAAGGTGTTCCCTAAGAGTCAACATTGTTCTTAGTTTGTATCAACTGAATCCCTCCCTCCTGAGAGTAGCATAAAGAGGAACTTGTCCTTACCTGTAAAAGACTTCACCGTTATCCTTTGTTTTTGTTTTGTACTTCCTTATGATTTTACTTTGTTTACTTTCCTTATGATTCTAAATAAATAACTCAGAGAAACATGGCTTGGGGCCTTCAGTCATGGGAACTGTTGGCCCCCTGTTTTTCACTCTCTCTGTTCTATATCATTTCTGGTAGTCGGTCTCATTATTAATAATTATAAAATTATTTCATTCCTTGGGACCCTAGGTCTGCAACAGACGACTGCCTTTTGGTCCAAGTATAAGTTTCACATTAGCACGATCAAGTGTTCTGGGATTCCCATTCTTCTCAGAGTCAGCCACAGCTTGTTATGGTCCACACAGTCAAATGCCTTTGCATAATCAATGAAGCACAGATAGACATTCCTCTGGTATTCTCTGCTTTCAGCCAATATCCATCTGACATTAGCTACAATATCCCTAGTACCACAACCCCTTCTAAACCCAGCCTGGAATTCTGGCAGTTCTCTGCTGATGTGCTGTTCCAGTCGTTTTTGGATAATCCTTAGCAGAATCTTGATGCATGTGAAATCGATATTGTTCTATAGTTTCCACACTCTGTTGGGTCACCTTTCTTTGGAATAGGAACAAATATAGATCTCTTCCGGTCAGTTGAAGAAAAAAAAAAAAGTGAGGTGAAAGAATTTCTCTTGGAGTGATAACATTTTGGATGAGAATTATTGCACAGCATTGTAAATAGGATCCCTGCCATTGGATTTCACAGTTTAAAGTGGTTTTTAAATGATAACCTTAATGTCGTGTGTGTGTATGTGTGTGTGTGTGTGTGTATTTGTATATTGTCTCATTGCTTTTGAGTTGTCTCCACCTCATATCTGACCTTCTAGCCAGTTTCCAAGGCTGTAAGTCACATGAGAAGTGATTGCCATCTTTTTCCTTGCGGGCGGTTGGTAGATGTGAACCACTAGAGAAATCACCAACGAGCTAGCAGGACAACTCTATGGAATGTGACATCAGAGCTATCTCTGTGTATATAATTTGTTTTGTTAGCATGTTGTTATGTAACACAACAACCAACATACAGTTACAACTAATTGTTACACTAATTTCTTTACCACAATTTAAAAGACTAACAGGAAAAAGGACATTTTATGTACATGATTTAAGAAACTGACATGAGAAATAAACTCTATTAGAGAAACGGGAGAAAAGGAAGAACTCAACAGAAAAGAAATAATTAGAATAAAATAATTATGTAAATCAGCAAGGGAAAAGGTAGGAGAATCTTTAGGAATTTATTATAGTCAAATGCTTTCCAATATGTTGGTCTGATGAAGGAAGGGCCAAGGGCTAATCTGCTAGCTCTTTTGGCCTGATATTATTCTGTAATAAGGAGATTTTTCTGTTCATATTACAGTATTGGAAATTCAGCTCTCTGTGGTCCAGGCTTATCCTGCACTCCTTTTCCTTCCTGCCCCCCATCATAGTGAAGAGTAATCCTAGTGGTGTTCATATGGTAGAGTGTAGGAAGGTAACCCTCAGGGGTTCGGAGGAAGGACCTCTAACGATTATTGAAAGTCTTAAAGTTGATCCATGTGGACCTGGATCATTTTTGTGAATACTCTGTTATGACTACATTAATTTGAGCCCCAAGTTTACATTTGTTCATGCACACTTTAAAGAGATGGTCTGTTGCTATTGGATGTTTCTGACCTTTTTTTGCATCGATATCTCTGTGATAGGAACTCCATGCTCCATTGACTGTTGTTGCAGATGGGCTTTTCTCCAAGTTCAGGAAAAACCTCGTCTCCAATCAAGTTTCTGTCTCATCTCATTTTGTTGGCTTGCTTATGAAGGTATAACGTGAGAATACTATTGTAGAAAAAGAAAAACAAAGTGACAATTAAAAATTACTGAAATACTGTTTGTTTTCTAGAACGCACCACAGTTTAAAGCAAACCATGCGGAACTTGTTTTAGCTAATCCGAGTCCAGTTCTTATTTATCAAATTTCATCCAATGAAACTCGAGTACTTGTTGACATTCGGGGAGAATTACCAAGGAATTTAAGAGAATACATGACTGAAAAAATTTACCCACAAATACCCGGTAAGAAATAAGATTTTACTCTCATTGTAATTTACAGCATGAAAGCATATCTTACAAAGTTTTCATGGATCTCTTTATAGTGCTGTGGAGTTGACTCTGATTCCCAGTTCTAAGCCATTCTATAGGAATCTGCCTTGTGTAAGCCCATTCTTGTGATCCATCTCTTGAGGGTCTTCCTGGTTTTCTTGGATCTCCTTTTTAAAGCCTGGCACCTCCTGATAACATGCCCTAAAGGTTTATTTGTTATTTTGGAAGTCCATGATACTTTCAGTATTCTTCATCAGTACTGCAATTAAAAGACATCAGTTCTTCCTTAGTTTTCCTTATTTATTGCCCAACTCACATGCAGGTGAAGCAATCTAAAATCCTATGACTTGGGTTGGGGCACCTCAGTCTTTAATTGTGACATCCTTGCTCACTAGCACTTTAAAGAGATCTGCAGCACCAGATTTGCCCAGTATAATTTGATTTTTTTTTTTGACAGCCACTTCTGTGAGTGTTGATTGTGGTTACAAAGAAAAATTTAAAAAAAAAAAGAAATGAAAAATTACTTGAGCCTTTCTCTATCGTGATATAGTGATCTATCTAGTTGTGAGAATTTTTGTTTTCTTTATGTGGGGGGTAATTGAAAGATAGTAGGAAAAATTAAAATATTAGAGGAAGTCCTACATGGAAATTATGACATGATTGTAATTATAGGATACCAGCCTTTGTATATTCAATTTTTTTTAAAGTAATAAAGTGTTTTAAAGTTACGTATGCATTGCTCAGGTGTAACTAGTTTGTTTTAATAACCATTAGAATGTTAAATGAAGGGACACATGAATCAAGTTAGACTTTCAATACTTAGGTTTTGAAAATACGTATATTAAAATATTTCAGTACACTTTATTTAAGCCACTCTTGAAACTTTCAATTGGAAAAGCAGAAGATACACATCTTTAGAAAAAAGATTGTCTAATTCCATGATAGTTTTTTTTCTCCATTCATTGTAGGCTTGGTGTTTTTTCCAACCGAGTGGTTAATGGAGCAGGCTCCTCGGAAGTCCTGTGGCGACATTATTTATGTGTTTGTGTTCAGATTAGTTAGGCCTCTCTGATGCTCTTCCTCTTAGCGAGTTGATTTTGACATAGTGATTTGGCACCTGCTTTCCCAGATTACTCTAGGAACTATAAAAAGTTCATTTTCTATACAGGTGGTATCACAGAACTTTAAAACTATGAGAAATGACCTAACCTTTTCATTTTTGAAAGTAACCCCAGCTCATAGAGGTAGACCTGGCCTCTTCTCTTTCTTTTTCTAGTGTATGTAGGCATTTGGTGTTTACAACTTGTTTACTTTTGATATTAGCAGAACATGGAGTAATGATATAATTTATAGCCATATTTTATAATTATCAGAATTAACATTTAGAAGAGAAATGAGTAGTTTTCTTCAATCTCATGTGAATTTGTCTTAATTACGCCTACCAAGTTTTTTGTTCATTAAGTTGCATGTCTATTAACATTCATTTTCTCACAGATTCTTTAATAATTCCTTAATATTAATGAATAAAAGGTCTTGTGAAAATTTCAGCAATACAATGATTTTTATCTCCAAATTGTTATGTGACAATCATGATTTGTTGTTACAGCTCTAATATAATACACGCAAATACTAGCTTATACTTGATAGGAAAATGTGAGATAATTTGAAGATGAAATGTTATAAATGGTTTTTCTGAGGGTTGCTGTTTATTGCAGGCCACATGAAGGAGCAGTTCCTAGAAGCTGTTCAGAATTCTCGATTGAGGGCTATGCCAGCAAGCTTCCTGCCTTCCTCACCAGTCAGCAAACGAGGTATTTAATTGGGTTGATTTGATGAACATGTCACTAAATGACATGTTTGATTAAATTTAGACTGTCAGGGGTAACATGGGATGGAGAATTGGTTGCTGTGGTGGAGTTAGGTGCCAAGTGAACTGTGACTTATAACAACCCTGGAACAACAGATCTGATCTTTGCCCTGTCCTGCGCCATCCTCATGACCTCTGCCATGTTCACGCCCCTTGTAGTCGTCACTGTGTCCGTCCTGTCTGCTGAAGAGCTTCCTTTGTTTTGCCGACATGGTGGCAGAGGGCACTCTGGTAGCCTAGTGGGTGGGTAGGGAGTTGTGCTGCCCACTGAAAGATGGGCATTTCAGATCCGCCACCTGCTCAGCGGCAGAGAGATGGCAGGACTGCTCTCATGTGCTTTATAGCCTCTGAGAACCCAGTAGAGGATAGGCAGTAAGTCATTTCCAGTGGCAGGAAGTCTTCGAACTAGTGGTGTGCTGTGTAGACAGTTGTATTGCTACCCACAGGCTGTGCCTCTCCAGCTGTTCGAATCCACCATCTCCTTCCATGGGGTTTACAGCCGCGAAAGCCCAGTCAGTGGAAGGTCGGCTGTGAGTTGGTGCTGACTCAACGACAATGAGAGTATATTGAAAACTTTTAAAGTAGTAGCATGATTAGATTTGTGTTTTAGAAATTTCACATTATTTCGAACGATTTGGGGGGAAATAGGCCATTTCATTATTCTGTGTAAGTTATGATTTAGGCCTGAACTAGGGTTGTGACAGTAAAGATGGGGAAGAGTGGACTTGGATAATGTACAGGAGCAGAATGCATTCAGTTGCATTAGTTGTATGTTATAAGGGAGGGTGAGGCTTTAGGTTTTAGGCTCAGATTCATGGTGTCTCAATACTTGTGCCAACCATTTGTTGATGTAGGCGATATAGGAAAATAGTCTAAAGTTAGGGAAGTGTGGGAGAGGTGATGTGTTATTTTGGACATAATGTGCAGTTGAGTGGAAGAAGATAGAGATGAGAGCTGTAGGTAAACTGGTTTCTGACCATAAGAGATTTGTAGTCTTGTAGAAATCCATACATAAACTATACTATAATTTATATAAACTATATAGTATAGAAAGTAGTAGTGAAACGGTTTACTGTTGGGTAAGAAATGACCCTGCAAGGGAGCTCTGGTGGTCAAGACGCAAGAAGCTGCACTGCAATCCCAGAGGTACGCAGTTCGAATTCATCAGATGCTCTGCTGGAGAAAGAGGGGCGATCTCTTCAGGTACCAGTCAGATCCGATTTGATGGTACACACACACACACACACACGCACGCACGCACGCACAATAATAAAAATGACCCTCTAGCAGGTTTTCAGAGTCATGAAAGGAGAGTGCCCATCTTTATCCTGCAGAGCAACTGGTGGATTCTAATACTATGTCTTTGGGTTGATAGGACAACTCCTTATCACTGAGCTATAATGCAAAGAAAAGGAAAGCAAATGCCACATTGACACCAGTTACATATTGTTATTGAGAATATTCCTTGAAGAAGGAAGAATAAAAGCCAGGCATCATTGTGGGTTGGTTTTTCTGTTGTTGTTTTTAATATGAAGGTATTAGACTGTATGCCAAATTTGAATTCACATTTATAAATGACTGTGAGATATATATATAACTCTATAGCTGTGATAAAAAAGGGAAAAATCATAATTTTACCACCTAACAATGTAACTAGGATTATTCCATTCACAGATAAATATTACAGGTTTTGTTTAGAAGTTGATTCCAGTTGATGGTGGGTTGGGAGTCTTAGAATCATCAGCTTAATCAGAAGTACATTTGAGTTCACTAGACTGTTGTTGCTTTTCAGATTTTATTCATTGTGAACGGATTTACAGATGAGGTTCAGTTTTAACATCTCACGATTTTGAGATACTTGCTTATTGCCTTCTAATTGCAGAACAGTGTAAATAGGTCTAATCTTCTGGGCTTACATGCTGATGGTGCCAAGTTTGGTGAAATGCTAAAACATTTTTTCCTCTTATGTAGGAGCCTTGCTTTTTATCTCTGATACCTGTAGATTGTTTTTTCTTTTTGGTTGTATTACTTTGAAAGAGACCTTACAACTGCAATGATGGAGTTTGACTTAACATTAGGTTAAAATGTGTTTAATGAGGGCAGGCTCCATTCTCTTGTTCATCCTCTATCTCCTGTAGGCACAATAAATAAACGCCCAATAAATATTTCTTGAGTGAGACAACTCTTGAATATTGACTCAAAAAATACTAGTCAGGTTTTCTTATGGTGGCCTAATGGTAAGGAGTTGTTCTGCCAATCCAAAGGCAGGCAGTTCAAAGCCACCAGCTGCTTTGTGAGAGAAAGATACCCAATCTTCTGTGCAATTTACTGCCTCTGAAAACCAGCTGGAGGGTCAGCTATGAGTTGGTTCCCACTCGATACTCAGCAACAGCTCTTACTGTCATTTTTATAGAGAGTAGGTTTTTTTCCTCTCAAGGGATGCTTCAGGATGACATAATTTTAATGCTGTCCTTTTACAGGTGTTCTTCTTTTGGGAGATGCATATAATATGAGACATCCTCTTACTGGTGGGGGAATGACTGTTGCTTTTAATGACGTAAAACTGTGGCATCATCTATTAAAGGGCATCCCTGACCTGTACGACGATGCAGCTGTTCTCCAGGTAAGTTTGTAAATGACCCATTGACTAAATGTCTCAAATGGGATTTCTTTCTAGAGCTGAAAGGAGATATGCATTTGAACTTGATGCACAATGATGGTTCTTTCACTTGGTCCTACAAAGGCTTAAGCTGAAACCTCCAAATCGTGCTTAAATTTTGTATTCCAATATTGTTTAACTCATTTACTAGGATTAACTTGCTCATTAGAAACATACTTTCTGTAATACCTATAGAAAGGCCTTTGGATAAGGATAAATTTGAGGGGATTATAACCATTTCATGTCAGTTTATTCTTTCTCATCTAATCATATTTTATCTTTTTTTCTTTTTCAGGCCAAGAAAACATTCTACTGGACAAGAAAAAAGTCTCATTCCTTTGTTGTGAATGTCCTTGCCCAGGCTCTCTATGAATTATTTTCAGCCACAGATGGTAAGTGTTCATATACCTAATGCATATTAGTAAATTCCAGGTTTTTAGCATCACTAGGGAAATTATAATGACAATAAAAATGTGAGTAAGCCAGGGATTCTATCTGAATTAACTGACTTCCAAGTTTAGTAGACTTCCTATATACTTCATGGTTGAGTCAGATTTTTAGCTTCTCACTGTCACATGCCCACCTTTCTTCTTCCTTCGAGAACGTTCATAGTAATGCCTCAGTAATGCGTCCACCTCCCCTGGGCAGCAGATTTTGATGAATGATCTTCTGGCCTTGTATTAAGCGGCACAGTTGTGTGGTGCACTAGTTTTAGGCACTATAGAAAGTATTTCTAAAATGCATCTGTCTCCATTGCTTTACGTCAGAGATTTACCTATCTCTCAGAGTCATTTTCTGAGATGTATCTTTTCCAGTAAAATGGTCTTTGCTTTCACATTCAGAAACCACCAAAAAATATTTCTAAAATGAATGTCAAATTAATTTTCTTCCCTATGAAAATATACATGGAAAAGAATGCATTGTATTTTTATTGAATTGAACTATTTGAACCTTTGTTTTTGTTTCTGTATTACAGAGGTGATGTGACCACACACTTTGACAGGTGTTGACCACACACTTTGACAGGTGTATGCTAGGGCAGACATGACAGAGCAGGTTGGGCAAGTGAAAGAGAAAAGAACTATTTTTTATTTTTCAAAGCTGGTCAGTTCTTATATTATGAATGGAATCTGAGAAAATAGCATTAAAAATTTATGGAATTGGAGGAGGAAAAAAATTAATGAAATTAAAAGTATTTCTACTTACTTTAGGTATACCTGAAAAAAAAAAGACTCTTAAAAATGTTATTGCTTATATTGTAATGATTTAGTAAGTTAATTTTAAGGTATTAAAAATATGAAATAGATACATGTTGTTGTGTGCTATTGAGTTGGAAAAGACCCCTTGCTGACCCTCCAGTGGCTTGTCAGAGGCTGAAAGTCACAGGTGGAGACTGTGCATCCTTCTCCCACAGAGCAACTGGTGGATTTGAACTGTATGCATTGACAGCCAATCTTTTTATTTGATAGCTGTTCAACTACAGGTATTGTAAGTCTGGAGTGAGGTGTGGTTTCTAGAATTATCTTTACACAACAAAATTTACAAAATATTTTATGAAATGTATTGATTATTAAGACCTGAATAGTTGATGTTATTTAACAGAAAAATGTTTAATCACATACTTACATTGATATCCATAATGCTGATTCTAGAATTTAAAAAAGAAGTCCTGAGTTGTTGAAATTCAAGGACTAGATTTTAATTACATACAAGATTTTGCTATTTGTTCTGTTTTCATTAGTGTCCTGACATAAATGTTTGCGTATGATGTTGGCTGAAAACAGTTTTTCAACTTTCTTTTAGATTCCTTACATAAGCTCAGAAAAGCCTGTTTTCTTTATTTCAAACTTGGAGGAGAGTGTGTTGCTGGTCCTGTTGGGCTGCTTTCTGTGTAAGTTACTTAATTCTTCTAGGTTTTCTGATAGTCCAGGGTGTGATTTTCGGTACATCTTTCACAGACATCTTGCCATCATTTGCATCTTATTCACAGATTTGTTGTTAAGTGCCATCGAGTTGAGTACGACTCATAGGGACGCTAAGAACAACAAATCTGAATCCTGCCCTGTCTTCATCTCCGACATACTTGAGCCCATTGCTGCAATCACTGCGTCAGCCCACTTGTTGAGGGTCATTCTCATTACTGACCCTCCACCTTTCTATGTATGGCGTCCTTTTCCAAGGAATAGCCTCCCCTAGTAACATGCTCAAAGTATGTGAGACGAAGCGTCACCATCTTTGCCTGTAAGGAGCACTCTGATGGCACTTGCTCGAGGACATTCCCAGAAGAGTCCAGAGAAATGAATAAAGGGAACAGTTCTCTTTTACAATGGGGAACGCCACTGCTTAGAGGTGATGGGACAAGAAACTGCCTCCCTGTGGAGTAAGCCACACGGTCTGATCGCTGGGAGCCAAGGATAATTGAAAACTTTGTACTTTAGTATTGCTATCAATCAGTGCAGGGACTTCTGAAGCTCAGTAACAGTTTGTATAATGCAGCATCCATGGAACTAACTACCTCTTGAAAAGTCTGAAAAGGAAATTGTTTCTCATCCTATTAAAATCTGAATACAAGTACTTCTCTTTCAAAAAACCCTGATTCCCATATGCCAGGCCATCCAGTGCTTCAGAATGAGATCTCAGAATGAGTGAAAGAAACCAGTTCAGAGCGTGAGCAATGTGGACTAGACTGCAAGGGGTTAACTGACTTCTCTGAAGGAGAATTTGAAGTAGTTTCTTGTGAAAATAAATACATAACCAGTTAGTAAAGTTCCCCACAATGTAGAGTTTGTTACCCTTCTAGACAGTACTTAATTAATCAAGCCAACCAGGTCGTCACATTGATTATAACACCCTGTGCGCCACAGATTGGTACTCGAGTTTCCAGTGGCTCATTATTCAGAATTAGGTCTTCAAGTCTTTCTCCTGAGGTGCCTTGGTAAACTCGAGCTACCAAACGTTTGGTAATCAGTGAACACGTGAAATCATGTGCATCACACGGGCATTGCTACCTATGTTAGTCATAAGTTAATTCTCTCTTTGTAAGAGGATCTTAATTTCTGGGTCTTAACCAATGTGTATTTTTTTTTTCTTTACAGATTATCTCCTAACCCACTCATTTTAATTGGACACTTCTTTGCTGTTGCGGTCTACGCCATGTATTTTTGCTTTAAATCAGAACCATGGGTATCAAAACCCCGAGCCCTTTTCAGTAGTGGTGCTGTTTTGTACAGAGCGTGTTCTGTAATATTTCCCCTTATTTACTCAGAAATCAAGTACTTGGTTCATTGAGCTTGAAAGGGAGCCATTTGTGAAGGAGTACGTGGAGCTCACCACCTCCTAAGGGCCTTTTGGAGATGGCTGTATAGAGCATAGACTGTACTACTTTTAAAGTGTAATTTCTTGGATCAAGATTAGTATTAATTTGTTTCTGAAATCTTTTGTATATAAACATGTAAATATGTCCTTTCATTTTACACCTTATAATGAAGTTATAAAACGGAAGAGGAATGACTGTTACCGTAATTGAGTGCTAACACCTGAGGGCTTAGTTGTTTTTAATTCACCACTGGGGATGACCACTGTGGGACATAAAATGAGTGAACTCTTAAGCTTTTTGTTTGTTTGGATTTCTTTACATAGCTTCATAATGGTACAGAAAGTCCCAAACTTCTTCCTTCCTCACAGCCAGCTGGTTGCCACAGGAACATCGCATAGTCATTCCAGGATACTTTTCCTGCACAGGCGATTAAGGTTTTTAGGGGTGCTAAAAGCTTATGGTTAGTAGGATGGTTTTGAGAATCTGAGGTAGGGCTTAGAGGTGCATTCTAGCTTCTGAGAAGAGACTGGAGGGACTGCTGAAGGCAGGACTCTTACAGAAGGGGTTCTGGGCACCTAAGATCTGGGACTGGAAAGACTGTGGGCCTCAGACACCTAGAAGTATTTCTGTGGTCCACTACCTCTGTCTACTAGTCTGGCTAGACATGTTCAGAGAAGACTTTTTACTGAGTGAATGTGTAGTTTGTGAAACAGAAAACAGCCGGACAACTGTGGGTACAGGCAGTAGTAGTATTTTGCGGGGGGGGGAACCAACCCAAAACCTTAGGTTACACAAATAGCTTTTTGAACGTACGACTGAACAGATTTAGAGCTAACAATTGAGCATTTAGAGGAGGCAGTACAAAAAGATGTTCTGCATCTGGGACATAAACCGAGTGTATACCCTGATTAGACTATGACCCAGTGCTGTGGGATACATCTTAACTCAGAATGTGCATCCCACAGCCAAGGCGGAAATGCAGCTAGCTGGGCAGCTGGGTTCCTCTTCATGTGCAGCTCATCTGAGTGAGGGTGGGAGGAGAAAAGAGCAATCCTTTCATCCAAGTGGAAGACAAACGTTAAAGGACAGTTCTGAACTCATCAAAAATGAAGTTAGGTACGTGAGCTTCAGCAACCTGGGAAAAAACCAAGAGTTTTTAAGTTCAATTAATTCCATTTTATAACAAACGATAAACCTCTTTGAGTTTATTATTATGGAGCCTAAAAATAAAGATCCAAAGGCACCCTTTAGTGTCAGGTGACTCACTGCCGTGAAAGAGCACTTACAAGGGTGGAGGAGAACATGAGAGGGAGTGGGCCACTGGGGGCCGTCTCACCCCGCCCAGGGCCATTGTTACCGTCTTTGTAAAAAGCAGAGCTTCAGTGGTCTAGGGAGTGGGCTGCTGACCCAGAGGTTCCAATCCTCCAGTGATGGCGAAAGATGGGCGATCTCTCCCGTGACCTGCAGTCCCTGAAACCTTCCTGGACCGTCCGTTCTGACTACACAGTGATTGGCTAAGAGTTAATCTGTAAAAAGGTCATGAATGAATGACTATCACTCACCCTTCTGGGTAGCTTTGTGTACCGAACATAGTCCTCCAGGAACAGAAGGGCACCCACAACATCTGCAGGAATTTCAGGAATCTTCTGGCTGTGGAAGACAAAAGATCAATTAACTGCTCTGTACGTAACAGATTCTCAAGTCAACATGCAGAAGGATTAAATACTTCTGTATGAAGTTACAGAACATTCTCTTGATTCACATCCAGTCATTAGCTTGCTCACTGTTCCCATGACTCTTCACAACACGGCTCGTGCTGTGTGTCCACGCCTGCCTGCCTCATGGGTCAGCACTTGTGGGCTGGTGACAGGCTCCTGAGCAAGCCATCCTGTCCCTCCAGTCCTCTGTGGCCACGTTTGCTGTGCACACAGCAGAAAACAAATTCCCGGCAGCTTAACAGGTTTCAGCTTGGGGATTCCCCTGGAAGATCCTGCCTGCTCTGAACAGATGCTTTTTCCCTGTGCTCTCATCCATAAATCATTTTCACATCTCCCCAGTTTTTAGTTGTATGCCTGCTTATCTGTAAAGATACAATGTCACTATGTGAATGATGCCACAGTTCTCATACATCTTAACATAGAACACGTTGCCGCAAATGACAGATAAAAAAAGTGTTTCTAAGCATGGTTGTCAAAAGTGTGGAAACATGTTAATACAGTTCTATAGTTTGAACTCAGAAAAAAGTAAACTGATCAAATACATCATGATGGTAAGAATGGGCCTACATTCAGCACATGGAAAAGGAGCTTGGGATTTTAACGAGGGCGGACCCCACGTGCTGTGGAGGGCGGAGCTGTAATTTCAGCTGCACAGACTTACAAATGGGGTTTGGAATGAGGGTGCTTGTGTAATCACTCCTCTGGGCTGAGCAAGGCCACACAGGAATCTACATAGGTTGGGGAGGTAGTAGGGCACATGTTTCACATGCCTGTGGTCCTGATTTTGGTTCCTGGAATCTCAATACATGTCAGGGAGTCATATTTCAATTTGGCCAACAATACACTGGGACTCTCAGGAGAGGGACTCCCCATCTGGTGAGCAGTCTGAACACCTGAGCATGTGAGGAGCAGGTGGAAAACTTGTCTAACAAGACCTACGGTAACAGTGTATGTCAAATACCTGAGAGGAGGCTGTCAGGAGCTCACGGGGGAGGAGGGGTGGGCAGGGAGAAAAGGGCAACAATGAATGGAAATCCAAAGTCTATAAACTTTCATTAAAATGAATAATAAAAAATAAATTTAAAAAAATGCCTGTTGTCAGGTGCCATCAAGTTGAGTACAATTCCTATGTACTCTGAACAGACAGGAACCCTGTCCTGCCCTGTGCCTTCCTCACTGTCCCTGACACTCCCAGCTGTCACTATGCCATCTCTTTTGTTGAAGATCTTCCTCTCCTTTGCCATCCCTCCAATTTTCCCAGCACAATGTCCTCCTCCAAGGAACAGCCTCTCCTAGCAACATGCTCCAAGTATGTGAGATGACGCTTTGCTATCTTAGTCTCTGAGGAGCACTCTGGCTGCACCTTCTCCAAGACGTGTGCTTGTTCTTTTGCCAGTCGTTGGGATGTTCAGTACCCTTCTCCAACACCACAACTCGGAGGCATTGGGTTTTCTTCTAGAAAGAGGCCTAGTGAGTGACATTTTCAGGTATGGGTTTCACCACAACCAGGAACTTTCTGAGAACTCTCCAGCATCCTGTGTTGATGGAGAGGTGACTCCAGGATGATGGGTGTGTCCCAGCAGAGAGGTGCCTACGGTCAGGGAGGGCCGATTCCTGTACCTGGGGTAGGTGCGTGGATGGCTTCCTGTTTTAGGAGCGACTGCTGCTTTGTGTGGACCTGGGAGAGCGTTCTCACTAGTTCATCTTTACGTTCAACTGGCAAAAATGACAATGTGGTAACCTCCTACGTTGTGACTATGCAGGAAGACAAATGTCTTTAGCCAGACCTACACTTCGCATCAGCATCCTGGTCCAGTCTGAGGACTGACGCAGAGACTGCAGCAAAGGCCCAAGCATGGCAGGGACTGGGAAGAGGGCCCAAGATCAGGCAGGGGGTCACTCTGAGTTGGACTTGACTCGATGGTGCCTAACCAACGGCATTTTTCAGAGGCAGAGAAGGAAGCTCAAATTTTATCAAGTCAGACAAGCAAACTTTGTTTTCTATCTCATAAAAGCCTATTGGGAAATACTCTGAAGGAATGAAAAGGAATTATCGGAAGTAAAGGTTCACAAGCTTGTTGCCCTTCTGGGCTATTTCCGTATTACTGCACACCCAGAATACAGATGCTGCCCAGGACTTCCCACTGACGTGCTCTGACTACTGGTGTGAGGGCAGTGCCTCCTCCACCAGAGATCCAGCGCTCCCGAGTTCAGTGAGGGCACGAACTGCATGGGAAAAGCTGAAGAACAAGACTGTACATCCTTCCTTTTAGTCACCAATCCTGGCTCGGCTACAGAGTCTACTTAGAGAATTCCTGCCAGACATCTAGAGGAACTTCCCTGGCAGAGTAAGAACACGCCTGTAATTGTTTGAGGTTTGGCCTGACTTGTTTTATAGAGAAAAGGAAAAGCTACTTGCCACCTCTACTAGGTAGATGTTGTTAGGTGCCATCGAGCTGAAGACAATTCACAGCAACCCTGTAACGGAGATGGGAAATGCGCCCTATCCTGTGCCGCCCACACAGTCTGCCATGCTCGAGCCCACTGTTACAGGCACCGTGTCAGTCCACCTCACTGAGGGTCACCCCCTCTTTGGCTGACTCCCCACCTTTCCCAGTATGCTTTTTCCAAGGACTGACCCCTCCTGACCACATGCCCAGAGTATGTGAGATGGACGTTTCCTCACCCTGGCCTCTCAGGTGCACTCTGGTTGCACTTCTTCCAGCAGAGAGGATACTAGGGAGACAGAGGAGCTGCACATGCAAATCACATTTTGCCCCATTGAGTTTTCACTTACTACTAGTTGGCCTTTCGTACCTTGTGCATTGCTCCACTGTGGAGCGGATAAACTGGCCGATCAAGGCCAGGAACTGTTCGGTGTACCGGGAGTGGAACTGCTTCAGCAGGGTGAGGAGGCCCAGGACAAGTGGTGGCCAATCAACAGGGTCGGTGGGCTTTCGGCAGACCATTCCTGAGAGGGAACACAATTCAACAGCATGCGACACTCACTCCTGTGATGTTAGCACGAGCATCTGGGGTAGAAGGGACCCTGCTACATTCTGAATGAGCCAGCCGTCTGCTGGGGCCTTCCAGTGCTCTGTGTAGCAATATTGAACAGTGTATAAAAGAAGACTCCTCTCAAAGACAGCGAGGAAAGGAATCTTGTGAAGAAAGTGACTGAACCCGATTCTTGAACAAGGACGATGGAAAGCAAGGCTAAAAATACACGTGAACGTGTCCAACACGGTCAATCATCAGTGAAAGGCCAACTAGAATCCAATGAGATACCGCTGTCCACCCTTCAGAAGGGCTCAGGTCACTGAGACCCACATCAGCAGAGGCTGGTTAGGATGTGGAGCACCTCAAAGTCTCACACATACCAGAAGGAGTGCAAACTACTGCTGTCACTTGAGGGAAAAAAGGTTTGGTAGTTTCTTATAAAGTTAAGCTGGTCAGACAGGCCAGCAGATCATATTTTTTTAGTTCATGTAGAGACTTGGTTGATCCTAAACCCTCATGAAGGAACGACATGTTCCAAAGGCACAAAGACATGCATTTTATTAACACTCAACTAACTTAAAAAAAAAAAAAACAACAAAACAAACAACCAAAAACCAAAATAGAACAAAAAACCAAAGGAAGATCTCTGATGGACATAGTATTCTATAGAATGAGATGTTTGTTTACAAATAACTTATCACTACTGTAAGGCATAAATAATATACTTAGGGTAAGGAATAAATAACATACTGTAAGGGAGCTCTGGTGACCTAGTGGCAAGAAGCTGCACTGCAATCGCAGAGGTATGAGGTTCAAATCCAGCAGATGCTCTGCTGGAGAAGGAGGGACAATCTCCTCCAGTCAGATCCGATTTGACAGTACACACAAGAATAATAAAAAGGGGAAAAAATACTGTAAGGAATAAATAACATACAATACCTAGGTTTTTGTTGTACTGAAGTTTTGGCAACTGGGCGATCAAAAACAGAAAGTTGACAACTGGGAAATAAGGCAAGCGCTTTGTCGTTATGTATATCTGGGAAGAGAAAAGCAGGGAGAGTATATGGTTTTATCACACTGTGTGATACCATGGGCTGCACTGGCAAGTGTAAAGGTTCAATTTTATTTCAGTGTGCTTTTAGATAGGTTCCGTAAAACAATGATGCTTCCATTAATTGCTGCCTTGGGATTTTTATTTAACATCACTGACCCCCCAACAAACAGTGTTGGTGACACAGTGGTTAAAGAGTCCAGCTGCTAACTAAAATGCCAGTGGTTTCAGCTTACAAGCTGCTCTGAGAGAGAGGTGGCAGGCAGCTCATCTCCAGACTCAAGGAACAGGAAACCTGACGTGACAGTTCTACTCTGTCCTCCAGGGTTCCTATGAGTTGAAATCAATCTAGAAGGCAGTGGATTTTGGTAGTGACCCCCAAAAAACAAAAGCAATACCTATGTAACACTTAAACTTCCTGGAAGGGAAATAAACGTTGCTTAGTGATTAAAAACAAAACCAAAAAACAAAACCAAGCAAAAACAAAAAAGCAAACATGTTGCCCTGCAGTCGATTCCAGCTCTCAGCAACACCAAAGGGCAGAACAGAAACCTCCCCACCGGGTTTCCAGGTCTCTAATCTATGCACTATACTGTCTCCTCCTGTTACATGTTCCAATCACCAACCTTATTCAGTGGGTTGTGAATGCCTGCGGCCTCCAGATAGGCTGTGATTTCATACAAGAGCGTGTTATCTTCTTTAGGGTAGGGGAGTGAGGGGTCCTGATAGTGAGCTTCAATATCTGCGAGGAGAGCCCTAAATGAAGAGGGAGAAAACCAACTGAAAAACCAGTCAACATCAGAGATGACTTTACAAATTTGCACTTTCAAGCAGGCCAGTGATGCCATCTTTTGAGGCTTTGATTTCCTAATCTATATCATGAAGACTTGGTCCTTCTAACTTGCAACTTCCTGTGACTGGTAAGAAGTGGAAAAAACCTGAGTTAGAATTCCTTCTTCCTTAGACTCTTTGCCTGTGAGTCAATTTGGATGCACAGTAGCCTAGAAGGTCTGGAACTCCACACATGGTTTCTAAGCCCATAAATCTTTATGAAAACAGACTGTCACCTCTCATGGAAGGGCTGGTGGGTTTGAACCACTGACCTTTTGGCTGACAGCTGGGCATTGCACCACCATAGCATCTTGCCCACATTTTTAGGAGCTGATCTGTTTTCAAGATCTAGTTTGTTAAAAGTGCATGGACTGGTTCTCACTGAATATAAGGTTTAACATGAGAGCCAGGTGTGGTAAGGTGTGGGACGTGCCTGTACTCCAGGAAGGGCTTGATGTACCCATACCCTGTCCTGGTGATTCACGCAGTGACCTGGCCATTTACGCAGTGACCTGGCCCTGCAGAAGGCCCATCTGGGTTTTAGTTAATAACTGCTTTGCCAGCCTCTAAATTCTTAAGAGTCTGGTGTTTCCTATATGCTCAATATATGCTGGATAAATGAAGAAGAAAACAAGATCAAGAAACTTTACAACAATACTAAGAGTCTTTTAAAGGAGGATTTGATTCTCCACAAGAAGGAAGCTTGTGGAATCTGAGGGACTTCTTACGTAAGAGCTTAAAGCTGGCCAGGAAGAATCTGGAGGGTTCACGCTGAATACCCAGGTCACAGCTGCCGGCCTGGAATCAGTGTACTTACTTATTGAGATTCTCCAGAGCAGCTGCCAGATGTTTGGAGTCAAAGCGACAAGAGTAATTTAATTCATTTGCAATCTGTTGTCTCAGAATCTGCATCTGCCCAACCTGTGAACCAGGAAGAGAGGGGAGAGCTAGGGGCACATCACGACCAGATGAAGGGAGGCGACAGAGTCCAGGAGGCACATTCTCAAGGGAAGGATTGCAGTGCACCCCTGAAAAGGTGGAGGACTGCCCAGCCTGGCTCCACGGGCCGACAACCAAGACCAGAATTTTACTCTTCAGAAAGCTGTAAGAGGCCCTTCAAGAAAAGCATGGCTGGACTCCAATGTCAATTTAAAATAATGTCTAGCGTTTTACATAATGGTTCATTACTGTTCAATCAGTCAAGCATCAAGGTTGTTTGTCTCTTTTTAAGTTGTATTTTCCATCTTTTGGATTAAAGCTTAGGAGGGAGCTTGGGTGGCTCAGTGGTAAGGTGCTGCACTGCCATCCCAAAGGCATGTAGTTTGAATCCACCAGCTGCTCCGCAGGAGAAAGATGGTAATCTCCTCCCGTGTGATCTTCTGCCTCTGAAAACCCACTGGAGGATCAGCTGTGAGTCAGTTCTGACTTGAAGACCCGTAACGACAACATAAACAAGAGCTATGAGAAAACCCCTCCTTTTTGTTTGGCCTCTCTTCATCGTTCTCAAGTCTATCGCGATGCCATTTCATTTTCATATTTTAAAATGAAGTGAGTATAAATCTCAAGATTACAGATTCAGATTATGCAGGCATCTGGATTATACAACAAAAGGATCCCTTCAGTCTAGGGAGTCCTTCAGCTATTTTTAATGTTTTGAACCTCTTTGAACATCTGGTATATCCTATGGGTCCTGTAAAAGTTTTTAAATGTGCAAAGTAAAACCTGTAAAACAGCCGTGGAACAAAATGCTAACAAATATAATTATTGAATACTGAAAACCAAATTTGAATTGTAGAGGTATATTATCATGTTGAGTCCAATGATGACTAATTTCAAAGGAGTAGATAATGTCTGGGTGTAGACAGTGTCTGGATATACTGGTGCAGCTCGGAGATAGTACAGGCTTAGTCCCACAGGATATCACAGGACACTGAGTCACTAGCACGCCGTGGACCCCCAGGCACACGAATGCGATGTGATTCTGTCGTCTATCATAAAGTGTAGGATGCTCAGTGTGCTGCCGTCAAGCTGACCCTCCAGCGAGTTTCTGAAGGCTGTAAGTTACCAAGGAGGAGACTGCCGGTCTGTTTCCTGTACAGCTACTGGTGGCTTCGAACCTGTCACCTTTACATTAGCAGTGCCACTCCCCACAGACAATGCCACCAGAGTTCCTTGGGACTATGTGGCACATTATGCAAAAGTATTAAATATTGGGTGAATTACTAGAATGTGACAACAGACATGGAGGAAGAACATGCTGCTGGGATGATGGTGTTGGAAGACGTGCTTGATAAAAAGTTGCCATGAACCTTCAGCTTTTTAAAAAGCAGTAACTTTAAGGGAGCTCTGGTGGCCTAGTGGCAAGAAGCTGCACTGCAATCCCAGAGGTACACGGTTCTAGTCCACCAGATGCTCTGTTGGAGAAGAAGGGGCAATTTCCTCTTGTACCTGACTTGACGGTACACACACACACACACACTCTCTCTCTCTCTCTCTCTCATAATAAAAAAGCCGTAAAGCACAATAAAGCAAAGTGGAACAAAGTGTGGCACGCCTGTGTCCACAGTAAGTGCTGGGTGAGGCACAGCGACTTTTAGGTCTGGCTGTGGGAGAGTGTAGCTCACGCCTCAACACTCTGCTGCAGCATAAAGTCAATACTATATTCTGAGTTTCTACGGCACCTTCTTTTTGTCCTTTCTACGTGAAGAAAACTCAGCTCACTTCCATGGAGTCAGAACCTTGCTGACACTCCAGCAGGTTTACAGAGGCTGAAAACTGCATGAGAGGAGACTGTCCGCCCTTCTCCTATGAAGAGGCTGGTGGATTTGAACTCTCCCCGAGGTGTCACCTTTGGGACAGCAGTGCACCTTGCTATGGGCTATGCCATCGGCGCGCCCTCTGTGAGAAGCATCCCTATAAAATGAGCTGCTTCAAAATGCCAGGGATTATAAGGTAGAGATGAACACATTTCCTCTGGGCTGTTGTTGGAGGCAAAGTTTAGAAAAAGAGTGGCCTATTTTACGAGCAAAGAAGCATTATTATTTTGATAAACAGAGGTTATGACAGTTTAAAATGTGTCCAATATAGACAGGAGAATTAGGGGCAGTGAGTTTATGTTATTTGGGGAGGAACGACTTGGAAAAGGAGAGTAAGACTGCTAGTGCACCTGGAGCCGTGCAGTCAGCACCACCAATGGAGAAGCTGTGGGACTGCTGTATCTGCACCACCGACCTGGTGGCATATGATACTAGGTCATGGGGATGTCAAGTCTACCTCACAAGGAAAACACCAACACCAAGCAGAGTCGAAATGTGCCTGGATGACTTACCCTGCTGTCTAGCCTTCAAAACTCACTGAAGTCACAGAAAGCCTGCACATGTGGCTGAGACATCCATGAATGCTGCCTCAGTAAGTAACGTTTAACTGAGGACAGACGAACAGAATCTGCTAACTCCTGTGGCATTCTAGACTTTTCTTCTGGCATGTCATAACTGTATCACAGTCTTTAGCAGAGAACCTACTATTGGGCTGTAGTTATGTTTTCTGAGGACGTACGCAGGTAGGCCGTGTTTCACCTGACTGTCTCTCATAGTAACTGCTAACGCTCTATATGTAACAGATGTTCAATAAAGAGTTGTTGAATACTTTGATCATCACATGATGAGAGAAGGGCAAGGGGGGAATCACAGGAGGTCCCTGGGAGCCACCTCCCGAGTGAAAGGCAGAAAAGTTGATGCACCTTTTCTAAAATAATTAGATTTCCACCCAGCAAGTTAATTAATCTCTGTATTTCTCTATGTTAGTAATTTCCAAAGACACTGAGTTCTGCTCCCAAAAGCATCTAAGCAGCTAGGCAAACAAGAGGGGAAAGAGACACAACACCCTCTTTTTTTTTATTTTATTTCATTATTTTTTGTGTGTACCGTCAAATCAGATCGGACTGGTACAGGAGGAGATTGTTCCTCCTTCTCCAGCAGAGCATGTGGTGGATTCAAACCATGCACCTCTGAGGTTGCAGTGCAGCTTCTTGCCACTAGGCCACTAGAGCTCGCCACAATACCCTCTTCAAAATGTTCCTTAGATGAAATCAGTAAATCATAATTAATTTATGAAATGAACTTGTTATTTGTTTTATGGTCTCTCACTTTGGGAGGCAAATTCTCACTTACTTGTATAGAAGTCCCTTTTGCCAAAAAGCATTTTAAAAATAAACACATTTTTAAAATAAAAAGAAAAAAATAACAACAGGCCAATAAAAAGCAAAGAACAGCCCCAAGAGAGGAAGATAAAGGAACAAATGAATTTACAACTGATGATAAACTAAAATGTAATAATTGCGTCTTTAATAACCTAAAAAATGAACTTAGCTTTTGCTGAGCTCCAAAAATGGTAACAAAGTAATATTTTAGAAAGTGAAGTATTCAATTATTTTATAAATTCTGGATATAAGTCCCTTATCTGATATACCATTACCAAATACTTTTTCCCCAGTCTGTGGCTTCCCTTTTAACCCTGTTGGAGAAGTGCTTGGATGTGCACAGGGATTTGATTCTTAGAAGGTCCCATTCATCTATTTTATCTTCTCCTGGTTGTAGGTTTTTCAGGAAACTTGGAAGACTGTTTATATTGTGGATTAGGACTTCCAACATTCGTCCAAGCTTTTCCACAACAAGATAAAGGTAAATAATCCAGTAGAAAAATGGGCACAGGATATGAACAGACACTTCACCAAAGACGACATTCAGATGGCTAACAAGCACATGAAGAACTGTTCATAATCCCTAGCTCTAAGAGAGATGCAAATTAAAACAACTATCATCTCACCCCACTCAGAATAGCAAAATTTAACAGAACAGCAAGCAACAAATGCTGGTGAGGTTGTGGAGAAACTGGAACCCTTATTCACTGTTGGTGGGAGTGTAAAATGGTGCAACCACTGTGCAAGGCGTTATGGCGCTTTCTCAAAAAGTTGCAAATAGAGATACCATTTGACCCAGCAATTCCACTACTGGGAATATATCCCAAAGAGACCATAACTGACACCCAATTAGATATATGCACAGCCATGTTTATCGCGGCTTTGTTCACAACAGCAAGGTGTTGGAAACAACGTAAGTACCCATCAACAAACGAACAGAGAAGCTGTGGTATATTCACACAATGGAATACTACGCTGCATTGAAAAACAAGGAACTCATGCAATATTATTAAAAATGGGTGACCCTAGGGGACATTATGCTGAGTTAAGTTATCTCAGTCACAAAAGGACAGATACTGCATGGTGCCACTGTTGTAAAACAGGACTGATCTCGAGGTTGGGGGGAGACTGAGAAAGATGGGTTCAATAATGTATACGGCATTGAAACAGATGAGGGAGAAAACTGTTTAAAAGGGATATATGATTAGGTATTATTGTCATGACAGGAGTCCAGAACGAAGGCTGCATAGTGGAGTGGACCTGGGGGTAGCGATTGTAAAACAATGGAAGAATTTGTCTTTTACTTTTCCAAGAGGGTAGTGTACTAGGGGGGAGGGCTGGGAGGGGGGGAAAGTGCAACAATGAAGGAATGGAAACCCAAAGTCTCTGTAAATTTTCATTGAAATTAATAAGAATTTTTTTTTTAATTTAGAAAAAAAAAAAAGGCATGCTACCTTGCCAAAAAAAGAAGAAAGTATTGATTATCACATTCACAAGTTGGCCCCTTGCCCCACCTCATACCTTCATTATAGCCTCGAGGTAGGCTGTCCAGATCTTCTGAGTTTTGGCAATGGCGGAAAGATAAATTTTATTCGAATTTGCTGAAAGGTTAGAATAGAATTTTCTATTTAGTAAACTGGGAAAGGCTGCAGGTTTAACCCCACCCGCGACTGGGTTCAGGACACTTACCCACAATGCTTTTCAAGGGGCTGACGGCGTTCATGAGGGTTTTTAAAGTTTCCTGAATGGCTCTGTCTCGCAGGATCATTTTCTGAAACATACTGAGGAAATTCTAAAAACAAGAAAGAATGATCAAAGGCCCAAATACCATGAGGAACGAGCAGACACTTCTAACCAACCCACGCACTGCTGACTAGCCGAGTCCCCCTGACAGTGACCCCGGAGGACAGGGGCAGCTCTCGCGGGGAGTTTCTGGGCTGTAAATCTTTATGGAAGTGGACAGCCACGTCTTTCGGCCATTGAGCAGCTTTTGGGTGTGACCAACTGATATGTTGGTTAGCAGCTGAGAGCTTTCGCCACAGCACCAGGAGGGCTCCCATAAACTCCAGTGAATGACAATGCCCATGGAGACTGCGCCCAAGACATGTGACAGGCAAGCAGTAACTCCAGATTCTGATGAGACGCCTCCTCTGTAAAAAGCAATTACTAGTTTTAACGATTTGAGGCCTTCCCCAGTTGAAAAGCAAATTTCTCATAAAAGTACTACATGAGAGAAAAAAGCCATTCCAATGTATGTTCAGGTCTTCTCTAACATAAGCCTGATGCTGGTACAATGCTATATGGTGCCACTGTTGTAGAATGAGGCAGGCATTGGGGTGGGGGTAAGACTGAGAAAAACTGGATGAAATATGTTTACGGCACTGAAGTCTATGGGGGAGAGAATAGTCTAAAAGTATTATATTTTAGGGCATTATTTTTATCGTAGGAGTAAGCAATGAGGGTTGCAGAGTGGATTATATTTGGGGCTAGGGGGTGGGGTTTGGGGAGGTGCGGGGGGGGGGGGATTGTGTACCAATGAGGGAGTTTTTCTTTTGCTTTTCAAGGAGAGGAGCAAAGGGGGGGGGGGAGGTGGGGGGAGGGGTTTGTGCGGGGAGAAGGGTGCAACAATGAATGAATGGAATTCCAAAATCTCTGTAGATGTTCATTGAAATGAAAAATAAACAAAGTAAATTAATAAAAAAAAATTAAAAAAAAGAAAGCACAAAATTGAAGTTAGCGGTGCATCACCTGGCCCTGCGGACCCCTCTCCCCTCTTGCAGGGCACCTGCTGGGGAAGACTCACCTGTAACTCTTTAACAATCATGAAACACAGGAGCCGGTCCAGCCCGTTCAGACCGAAAGTCCCCAAGGTGGTCTGGATTTCTGAGAAGAGGCGGCTGCTGGTCACTTCCTGGCGCGTTTTCATATCATACCACGTGTTCAGCTGTTCGATGTGACACGTCATTCTAAAACCAAACCAAAACATGAAACCCCAAAAGTGGTTCCGTTGATCCTAAAGGGATTTAAATAGAGCCCCCTGGTCTATCTATGTGATTGTTTTAAATTTCCAGAGATAAAAATCAGAGCCTAGGGGAGCTCTGGTGGCCTAGTGGCAAGAAGCTGCACTGCAATCCCAGAGGCGCACGGTTCAAATCCACCAGATGCTCTGCCGGGAAAGGAGGGACAATCTCCTCCTGTACCAGTCAGATCTGATTTGACGGTACACACACACACACACACACACACACACACACTAATAATAAAATAATAAAAAAAAATTAAAAAAAAATCAGAGCCTGTGGCCACTGCCATTTTAGTAAAGAGAGGGACTTGCAATTTCTCACCATGATTTGACAACATATGACACGGCAGCAGCTCAACTCAACATGCACAGATGGAGAGAGAGAAATCCCTCTTCTCCTGCGTCATCCCACCAACTGTTCCACTTAGGGGCCACGAGGAAGCGAGGTAGACGTGAACATGCTCTGTGCTCGGCTGGTCTTAGTACCGACCGCTTCCTGTGAGACCAGCTGAAGAACACTGAGGAACTGCAAGCTAGTCTCCAACATGGTTCCCACCAACAGTGCTTTCCGGGGAAGTCCAGAAGTTACGAGATTTCTGCCCGGTTCTTGTGACCTGAGAACCCGTGAGCCCAAATGTAAACTGGTACTGCATGTCACAGTCACACGGCCGATCACTGAACACCACGGTGTGTTAAGAGCTGGGCTTGGGAGTCAGACAGCTCTGTGTCCTGTGGCTCCCGGTCCAGTGACCGAGCTTTCCTGTGTCTCTCAGTTGCTTCATCTGTAAAATGGGAATACTAGATGGTACTGCTGTAACGAGCGTGTGGATGTACACGCATAATGTACTGAGAACAGCACACAGGACAAGTGTTCAAGAAATGCGGTTTCTTACTGTCAACAGTGCTCGTGTGTTGGGCTTAGAAGCAAAGAAGTAATCGTAAAGGTTCAAGATGAAAACCAAACCCAACACAATGCTGGCTCAGTGACTGGCTAAGTGTAAGAGAAATGCCTAACGGGTTTCCTAGGCTCGAAATCTTTCCAGAAATTGAGTGTTATCTTTCTCCCGGGGAGGGGTTGGTGGGCTTGAACTGCCAACCTTTAGGTTCGCAACTGTGCACTTTAACAACTGCACCACGAGGGCTTCTTTATGAGCTGACAAACGCAAGCTTTTGGGGTGACATGCCAGTTACACAGGTACAGCTGGGTGGCAGTGATCATCTGACCACACTGGGAAGTCCACAGGCTTGGGAGAGGAATGCCAGGAGGCCAGAGAGGCAGACTGCAGAGCGGTCAAAGACCTTCAGGCTAGATCCAAGACCTTCAGGCTAGATCCAATCTACACTTTGCTGGATGGAGTCTCACAGTCACAACGATGAAAACATGCAGTCTCAGAGAGTTGTTGTTGTTGTTGTTGTGTACCATCAAGCTGGAACCACCCAAAGCTGACCCTCCAGTGGGTTTTCAGGGGCTACAAATTGTATGGGAGGACAGTCCCCCACCTACCCCCCGTGAAGCAGCTGGTGGGTTCAATCAGTGTTCCTTTGGGCTAGAAGTGCAATTCCTTACCATTAAGCCACCAGAGATCCCTCTCAAAAAGCGTAAACTTTAATAAATCCTTGAGCAGGGATTCAATGGTGGCAGAAATTAGCGTACGGTCAGCACAGACAACACGTGTGGAGAGGTCAAACGTCCATGTGGGCAAGGCCAGTGGGGGGCACATACACCTACTTTGGGTCTGTGATTCGCAAAATTTCTCTGCAGAGTCGACCAATGAATGTCACAGACTCGTCCACCGGGGAGAACTTGGGTATTGGAATGTGAGTGGACTGGTATATACTCTGCCAGTCTTGAATCTAGAAAACAAAACCATAAAGACTTAGTCTATCACTGGTAACGCGAACTTTTCCCATCTAATTTAACAGAGTTAAATACTACAGGAAGAATGATGGTAAGTGGTCCTTGGTTTTGAAGAGGAAACTTACAAATGCATTTATAGCCTCCTAGAAGGGCACACATAACACTGATAACAAAGAAAACTTTGTGAAAAAGTAGTGATTGAAGAGAATGCTGCAGAAGAGGAAGTTCTGGTGGCCTAGTGGATAGGGAGTTGTACTGGCAGCTGAAAGGCGGGTGGTTCAAATCCTTCAGCTGTGCCTCAGGAGAAAGATGGAAAACCTCCCCCTGTGGGATTTGCAGCCTCTGAAAACCTGCTCGTGGCGTCAGTTATGAGCCGGTTACAATCTGTCCATGCCGAGATGAGTCGACACAGAGGAGGCTGAGGACCTTGTGCCTTTCTGGCATATGAGCTGACATGTATCATGGTATATAAAGGTCCAGAATATTCTAAGGCTAAAAGATACTTAACTTTTCTAAAACGTCACTTGTATCATGTTAATTCCCTACTTAGAAACCTGCAGACTAGTTCTGTTATTACTTTGCACTGGGTAATTTCGATACTTCCTGGCTCCTTCAACATTCTACGTGTGAATGACCACTTCCTGCTCTGCCCGGTATCCTCGACAAAGCCTTGGGTTTCACCGGCACACATTTCCCCTGCCTCCCATCCCATCCTCTTCTCTCTCATCACTGAAGCCCACTGGGGTCCAGGCTGAAGGATTCCTCCTTTAAGAAGCTCCCCCATCAAGACCCAACTGAGGAAGTCCCCAGTCTCTGAACTTTCCACCACTCGGATTATACAAACAGCTTCCGTCTGCAGTCATCTGTGTGTTTCTGCTTTCTTCTTAAGAAGGCCTCAGGGTGTAGGGGCTAGGCATTGGTTTCTAACCAAATGGTTAGCAGTTAAAATTTACCTGGCAGCTCCATGGGAGAAAAAAAATGCAGATGTCTGCTTCTGTAAAGGTTACAGCCCAGAGAACCTTCTGGGCAGTTCTGCTCTGTCTCACAGGGGCACTAGTAGTTGGGATCGCCTCAAAGGCATCAGTGACAGCTTTCTCCTCAGTACGCTCCCTGAGGCCGGTGCCAGGGCAGCCTCTCGGCACTGCCCACTTTCCTGAAGCGACTCTCAGGTATTCTGTCACCTGCTTACTGATTTTTGAGTGACTATGTAAAGAAATTTTCTTCTTGATATTTCTAAGGTTTAGGGGTTGTATTTTAAATGTAAAAAATTACAAATATGGTCAAGAGTTTAAAAATAATACTTAGATACCTTTGTTCTTAAGAAATTATTACATTCTTGCTCCACATTGTAATTTATAATTCGAGATACTTCTTCTTGCCAAATCTTCAGACCGTAAATGTTGACGTAGTCCTGTATGTATTCAAAGGAACGGTGGAATCCATCCATGGTAGCCCCCAGCTCTTTCAGCTTGGGCATCAACTCGCTTGGCTGTGCAAATGGGAAAAAGAATTTGATTACACTGGAGACAACCATCAACCATTAACAATTAAATCAGACTTTAAATGATACACCAATAAGAAACCAGATCCATCATTTAAGAGAAGAGAGCTGGAATGTCTCTACTCTGAAAACAGGGGGGTCTGGTGGCACAGTACACAGAGAGTTGAGCTGCTGTCCCAAAGCCGGTTCCAACCGACCAGAGGCTCTGTAAGAGAAAGACGGACCATCTCCTCACACGTGACCGACAGCCTCTGAAGACCTGCTGTCAGCTGTGAGTGGGTTCTGACTGCACAGCAGTGAGCTTCTGAAATCTAAAGATATTTAAAAGATTTCAATTGAATTTATTGAGGTAAAAAGTACCCTATCTATAAATTTTAGGCCTGATTTATTTTTTTTTCCTTCTGAGAAAAATGACCATAACAGACAATGAGGAGAGAAAATGACAGATTCTAAATTCAAATATGCCTTTAACTTTCTAACTTCTAAAAAAAATATTTTTTACCATTAATGTCAATGGAAATTTACAGAGACTTTGGATTTCCATTCATTCATTGTTGCACTTTTCTCCCCGCCCACCCCTGCCCCCCAGTACACTCCCCTCTTGGAAAAGTAAAATTCTGTCATTGTTTTACAACTTTTTATTAACTTTTAACTCTAAGAAGTAAATCAGAAACATCAGTTCAATTTCAAAACTTGCAGATCAACAAAGAAAGAAAGAAGCAGATGTTTCAAAAGGAGTTTTTCACAATGCTAACAGATTATCGGAACAGATCAAAGAGCACTTCAGTTGTCTGCATTGAAAAATCACATACATTAGACATTAGACACATATTAGACAAGGCCTAGCTCAGAAGAGGTTAACAAGGGTGTTCCGGTCAACTGTGCAAGGTGAACGGAGCGTGGCGAGGGCTAGCTTGCCCGTTTGTACCTTGGCTCGAGGGTTGAAGATCAATCCCCGGTGGAGGGCAAATGCGACCCGTTTCACCAGCTCCTTCCTTATGCCGTCCTCCAGTAACTGTTTTGGATCCACCTACGCACAGATCAGAAAAAATCAAAGCAACAAAACACCCAATAAATGGCAATTAGGAAAGTTTCCATCCTAAGTAAATTTAGAGGAAAATGGTTTCCAGACACACAATGGAAACTTCCTACGTCACCTCTAAGTGACGTGGATTCATTTCTTTCCCCTCTCCCTCTGAGGCTGGACAATTTGAACAGTTAAACCTCTCACCACTCAAAAATGTATTTGTTAGGGGAGCTCTGGTGACCTAGTGGCAAGAAGCTGCACTGCAATCCCCAAGGCCCAGGTTCGAATCCACCAGATGCTCTGCCGGGAAAGGAGGGACAATCTCCTCCTGTACCAGTCAGGTCTGATTTGACGGTACACACACACACACAAAAATAATAATAAAATTAAAAAAAATGTATTTGGTGTTTGTTGGTTGTTTTTAAATCCATGATAGTTTTACATGAGAACTTGTGAAAGATGGGAGGTGGTGGTAGTTTGTCCCTCGCCTCATTTTAACCATTTTATTAAAACACACAGGTGCCTTTTCTTATCAACAGAGGTGATGATGGAATGAAAAAGCTGCATTTAAATGTGTGTCTTTCCTCCAAATATTCTTGGAAGAAATCTGCCTCCATGAGGAACTGCAAATTAAGCGCTGGGCCACTCTACAGTTCCACATTTCTCTTTCCTTTTGGTGTTTTTTACATACTGTTTGTAATTAGGGAGATAAACTAGGAGAAAGCATATCTATTGCCCAACTCTACAAGCTTATTTTGCGTGTGATTTTTCTGTAATAGGAAGTCTTTAAATCCCAGAAAAAAGAGCAGGATCTAGAAAACATCAATTTGCCTTATGGTATGTTCTTGAATTCCTTGAGATTTGGGGTTGGTTTTTTTTTGCCCTTTTAAATTTGTAAAAAAATTTTACAGTGTCATAAGGGAGGCAACTGGTGGGTTTTATATGGTTTTAACTATCTCAAAATCTAAAGAAGAAAACTGTAATAGAGGCATCAATGGTACCCGCTTGGCTGCTCACCAGTAGGGGCCTCGGAATAAGACCTGGTGAACTGATTCTATAATCACGGTTGACAGGACACGATGGGGGTAGTTAAACTGCTATTACGTGCGGGTGCTATGAGTCAAAGATGCCTCACCGCCACCCAACATCACCAGGCAAAACAGGTCAGTATCGAAGCTGTTACCTTGATAATGCCGACCAAAGTCGTTTTCATCATTAAGATGCCTTCAGTAAAAATGGAAATCGCGTGAGTGAGCTTGGCAACCTTTAATGAAGAAAAAGAGGTATAATGGAGGACTTCAGGCAAAAGATCCATCATTTCTATGGGAAACTAAACTAACGGGCTAATCGTGCTAAAGAGGTCAAAGAGGTCAGCAGTGGGTTTGTGGCCTCAGGAGCCCTGTGTACAGGTGAGTTAGACGGAAGTGAGGCCCTGCGGTGTAACTGGCGTGTGTCCTGGGTCCCCGAGTGAGACCCTTCCTCTCATTATTTCCCTCAGTCATCCTGTGGAGGGCAGGACTCAATAGTATGAAGCGACCTTTCCATACAGAGAACTGAGACCCTGAGAAGGTCCCTGCCCTCCACACAACACCGATGAGCAGGCTGAGGCTAAACCTGGGGTCAGAATAAATGTGCAAACGCCAAGCCTTGACTCCACGGGCCTGACGGACTTAGTGGAGCCGAGCCACAGGATGTGAGATGAGCACGGCTTTGCACACTTCTGCTTGATGCTCCTTGTTACGGTGTTTTTAGAAGAAAAACAGAAGCAGAAGCATTTTGGGCTGCATGATATGGAATGGGCTTAAAAGTCCAGTAGTGGGAAGTGGGTAGTGGAAGACACATTATTGTGAGCCTCTGGAACGGTGAATAAAGCAAGAAATTGAATGTAAAAATCTAAGGAATTTAAACTAAAAGACTGATTTATCAAAATCTTTCAAGAGGGAAGTGAGCAGCTGAATTTCACCTTCACCAAAGAGGTGAGGCGTTGAGTGGCACCAGGAAACGTAGAGAACAAAGATCTGATGCCTCTCCCACAAGGATCTCTAGTGGTATGGTGGGTTACATGTTACATCGCTAACTGAAAGGTCAGTGGTTCGAATCCACCAGCTGCTCTGTGAGAGATAGATGGGCTGTCTGTTCCCATGAAGATTTACATGCAGAGCTGGCCTCTCAAGATCCCTTTGGGAAATCTGAAATTCCATTGTTTTAGTCATAAGTCTCGGGCATACAGCACCTCGTATCGTGGGCCAAGCTGGGCATAGTCCCTCAGCTTGTCTTTGTCCAGGCGTGTCGGTACTTCAATGATATCATGGGTCTGAAGCTTTATGATCTTCAGAAGAGAAGTGAACATGCTTTCGGGAATGATCTGCAAAACCTTCAATGAAAAGAGGAGAAACCACTGAACATCTTCATTTCTCTTTCCGAGATGATGTCAGGATGAAAGGCACCAGCATTTAGACCAGCATTTTATCTACAGAAAGGGATGCTGAGAAATTTCAAAGTGCTGCTTTAATAACTGGCACCATGCATAATGTTTCTGGATGGATGATGGATCACTGAGATGGTTCGGGGCTGGGCAATGGTTCTTTTTAATACATAAGGTCATATTGGTCAGCATCAGCTCTCCAACAACCAACAATATCCAAGCACTGCGCTAGGTTCTTTCAACATTAATAATTCACAGAGTGTAGAGTAAATCCTCTTAGAAATGCTACTCCCCCAAAAAATTCCCAACCTTCCCACAATATAGATTTCTTAAAAGACTGAAGTCTAGAGAAGCTAAGTAAAAATGACTTAGATCACTCAACTAATAACTGGCACAGCCAGATTTCTGAACCCAGACCTCTGACTCCAGGTTGCATCATGGTTTATTAAGACCAGGATGGATACACCAATTTTCATTGTAGCATTATTCACCATTGCAGGAACATGGAAACAGCTCAAATGTCGAACCACAAACAAACGGATTGAGAAATCATGGTACATTCACACAATGGAATACTATGCAGCACCCAGGAGCAATGATTTTGTAAATTATTACCTAACTTGGGAGGGACTAGAGAGCATTATGCTGAGTGAACTAACTAATTCTCACAAGGATAAATATTAGATAAGACTGCTATTGTAGAATGAGTATAAAGATTTAGGAGGGGTGGGAGAGGCTGGAAGCAGAGGGATGTGGATGTGCAGGGGGAAGGGGGGATTAATCATTAGGTTGTATAATTTGATAGGTGGGGAGGTGAGGAAAATGAAAAGAATTTGTTCAAATTTGTATGTGAATTTTGTAAATAAACCAGTAGGAAAAAAAAGACCAGGATGGAAGGCCTCACAGCATTTTCATTAGTTTCTGACTAAGGCATGTTAGATATGGATCTGGCCCTCCTACCATTCAGCTCTGTGGCTGTGAAGAAGCCACTCGAGTTTGTTCCTTTGTGTCCACAGTTATAAAACAGGGTTCATCGTGTTGGCATTTAAAACACAGATGTAAGAATTCCCTGAAAGCGAAAAACACACCTAGCAGCAGCAAGCCCAAGTTGATTTTCAGGTATTTCAAATTCCAGGAGTTAAGTTTAAAAAGATGAGAAGGAAAACAAGTCTACTTTTGTGCAGCTAACACAAGGGCCACACTTCTTTGCAGGTTCAAATCTACCAGTGGCTCCAAGGCAGGTAGACAGGCAATCTCCACTCGTGTCATTTACATACTCTGAAAACCCACTCGAGGGTCAGCTATGAGTCAGTTCTGACTTGACAGCAATGAGTTTGAGGTCTGGTTTTTTTCCTTCAGTTTGGAACATATATTTTGGATTTAAAACAAGTTAGCTAATATTCACCTTAATATAGTCACCTTAACAATTTTCTTACCTTTCTTACATAGGACACCAATTCTCCAGAGTAATACTGGGACACGCTGAGAAGATCAGGGCTGTTTGCTTGGTTAATACGAAGAAGGGGCAGGTCAAGAGCAGAGGCAAGCTGGAAGACAAATTAGCACTCTGTTTCTTTCTAAGAATCTTTGAAATCTTCCTCATTTCAGAAATAATAAACAACAGAGTGCAGATTGGTGCTTCCTCAAAAAGCTGAACAGAGAAATTCTATATGACCCATCTAGTCCACTACTTGGAATATATCCTGAGAAAATGAGAACTGAGGCACAAACTGAGATTTGTACACTAGTGTTCATACAGCATTATTCACCATTGCAAGAACATGGAAACAGCCCAAATGTCCAACCACAAATGAATGGATTGAGAAATTATGGTCCATTCACACAATGGAATACTATGCAGCACGCAGGAGCAGGAACACTGATTTTGTAAATTATTACCCGACTTGGGAGGGACTTGAGAGCATTATGCTGAGTGAATTAACTCAGTCCCACAAGGATAAATATTGTATAAACCATTATTGTAGAATAAGTATAAAGATTCAAGAGGTGTGGGAGAGGCTGGAAGCAGAGGGATGTAGATGTGCAGGGGGAGGGGGATTAATCATCAGGTTGTACAATTTGAAGACGGGGAGGTGAGGGAAATTGAAAGAATTTGTTCTTGAAAACAATGTATTCAAATTTGGTAAATAAACTAGTAGGGGAACAAAAAAAGGATAACCCCCAAGAAATCCATTTCATCCATAGCTTCTACCTCTACATGAAAGAACTGTGATGTTATTTTAAAAAAAAAAGATCATTATCACTTGGTAGTGGTTCCAGTTGTAGGAAGCAATCAGAAGGCAGTGGTTCTCCAAGTGTGGATGCCAGACCTGCCTCAGCATCTCCCAGGAGCTTGTTACACACCAATCAGAAACTGCTGCTCTAACAAGTCCTACATGCAGGCTCACAGCCGTGTATGGACGTCAGACACGTCCAGGTGTGCAGCGATGCAGGCTCACATCCGCCTACGGATGTCAGACATGTCCAGGATGGACTATGTGCTTAATCCACACTAAGGATAAGAAGTACCATTATTTTATGGCATCATAAAAAAGAAAAGGAGGAAAAATGCTGACAACTATGATATACCATCAAATATATAGCCTATTTCCAATTACAGCAATACTATATTGTGAGACAAGTACACCTCTGAACTGACAATTCCTTCCTGAGACAGTGGATAGAGTAGGTGGTCATTTAACGCCATCTGAAATTACCTTGCAAGCAGCGACATCATCTGTGTAATTCATTTACCAACATTCCCCAGTCTTTCGTGTTAACCCTAGTTTACGGGGCGGGGGAAGAGGGGAGCTAGATAAGAATTGTTTGAAATCTTCAAGCCACTGACCAAAACGATCTCCTAAAGTCATCTTGAGAGAACCTCATAGCTAGAACAGTATAGAATGAGATCAGACATCCACGGTGATGCTCCAGGAGAAAGGAGATGTGAAGGGACAGGGAGCCCAACTCAGTGGTGATGGGGAGGGTGTAAGGACAGAGTGAGGATGGTGACACAAGGGGACAGATGGTGCTAGTGTCACGGAGATGTACATGGACAGAGTGATGAAGGGGCGTAGGCGCTGCTGTGTGTACGTCCACCAAAATGAAATGTTTAAAGAAATGTTTGAACAAGTAAAGGAAAAGACTTAATTCAGAGGTAGAGAATGATAGAAGACCTAGGGATTTATACTGTTAGCACATGAATAAAATGGGGGAAAAAAGATGTTCTTTATTTAAAAACAGCTTTATATTCTATAATAAAAATAATTATTGATTTTAAATTCAAGTATTTCTGGCATCTTTTCAAACTATTTTCCATTAGAAAAACTTATAACAATTTTCAGTGTATAAAAGGAATTAAAAAAATGTAACTCAGGGGAGCTCTGGTGGCTTAGTGGCAAGGAGCTGCAACTATAATCCCAGAGGCGCACGGTTTGAATCCACCAGATGCTCTGCTGGGGAAGGAGTGACAATCTCCTCCTGTACCAGTCAGATCTGATTTGACGGTACACACACACACACACACACACACACATAATAAAATTAAAAAAAAATTTTTTTTAAAAAGTAACTAAAAACAAGGTATATTAATGATTGTATAAAACACAATGAACATGAACAAAAGAAATTTTTTTTAAATGCCCTTCATTTTCTTTCCATAAGAGGGTGAAGCCAGGCTGCTCCTTGGAAGCAAGGATTCTGAAGCTTCATCTGACATACACTGGACATGTTGCAAGGAGAGACCAGTCCTTGGAGAGGAACGTCATGCTTGGGAAGGTGGGGGGGAAGACCCTCGATGAGGTGGATTGATTCAGTGACCGGGGTAATGGGGTAGGTGTGTCAGAGATGGTGAGATTGGCACAGGATAGAACAGGGTTTAGGGATGTTGTGCATAGGGTCGTTATGAGTTGCAGGCGACTCAGTGGTGAAGAAGAAGAAAGAAGAAGAAAGAAGAAAGAAGAAAGAAGAAAGAAGAAAGAAGAAGAAGAGGAAGAAGAAGAAGAAGAGGAAGAGGAAGAGGAAGAGGAAGAGGAAGAGGAAGAAGAAGAAGAAGAAGAAGAAGAAGAAAGAGGAAGAGGAAGAGGAAGAAGAAGGAAGAAGGAAGAAGGAGGAGGAGGAGGAGGAGGAGAAGAAGAAGAAGGATGAATTGAGGCAGTAATGACCACTTCCTTAAAACTGAGGTGGTCATCATCTCCTGGTTCTGTCCTTACCTTCAGGAACGTAGCCCTGAGTTTCGTAACCATGGATGGGCTGGCTCTTATACTCTCTTGCATGATGGAGGTAAAACTGTGAGAAGAGATGAAAAGTAAGGTGTTTGCAGCGTGCTTCATCCAGGGGAAATGTCAGGCTCTCTTGACTTGGAAGTAACTAAGTCGATATCCCCCTTACCTGTCAATCAATTGCCAAGCAAAGGAGAGGTCCCCGACGATCTGCATGTTGATCAGGACCTCCTCTTTGATGTTAATGGTTCTGATCATTTGGTGGAGGAACTTGCGGGTATCAGCGAGAAACTGACATACTTGCAAATTTGATTCCAACTGGTGGAACTCCTGAACCTGTGTTAAGAGTTACATTTCATTTCAAGTTCTGAATGGCCTCCATAGTGTTTACGTTTCTGGAGAAATACTCTATTAAGTAGGGTGCCTGACTTACTAATAACTCCCTGACAAAGTCTGTCTGTCAAACTACAATTCCAGCCCGACATAAGTCATCATAAAACAATGCATGTTCCTATGGTTAGAGAATATGACTTGCTATTGTGTATCAACAACAACAACTCTGTATGTAATATTCCCGTTTTTAATTTTAGTATCAATAAATGCACAATATAAAATCTTTCTTATTCTGAAGATTTTTGCTGGGTTGCTTAAAAAAAATTGCACTGTAACCAAGGTTATTTTGGATATAGTGTTTAAAATAATGTCCCACAGTGCCTGGAAATTTTAAGGTGCAGAATTTCACAGAAATTTTAAGTATGGAATTGAAGGGGGCTGGAGGTTTGGGATATATGATGAAGGAGCCCTGGCAGCAGAGTGCATATGTTTTGGGTTGCCAACTAAAAGGTCAGCAGTTCAAATCCACAGCATGCTCCATGGAAAAAAAAAAGGTGGTTTGTCTCCTCTCATAAAGATTTACAGCCTTGGGAACGCAATGGAGATTTGCTAGGAGTCGGACTCAACTCACAGGCAGTGGGGTTGGTTATAGCTTATGCTAAAATAAATAATGCAAAAGACAAAGACCATCTAAGGTTTACAAAGTGGTTTAAAGCTGCACTGTGGGCAGGAAATAGAAAATCAATCAAAACAAAAATTGCACAAACGTGCACGTGTTCTGGGATGGTTAGGGGAATGCTGGTATACCACCGGTAGAGCATTCTATTGTGCTGCCACTCACAGTAACCACCCTACAAGTCGTGCAGCCATAAAGCCGTCTTGTAAGAAGCTCGCAAAAGTTAAAAGCACTGCTTGTAACTCAGCAAAAATACACCATCATACGAAGCGGACAGGGTACAAGTTTTGAGTACAGATGAAGTTTTAGGCTATAGAGTTTAAGGCTATTGCTCTGAGACTTTTTCTCGTCTTCGTTTCAAAACTACTTAACCATACAGTTACATTTTTAAAGGTGGTAAGGCAGAAATATATGTGGAGAAATAAAGATATTTTCTACTTCTGAAAAGAAAGTGCAACATGTATAAATAGATGATCATTATACTATTTTTATTTTTGGGAATTACTTTCTAGCTTTCCCTACCAAAGGCACATACTTTCTTAGAAACCTACCATGTGCACACACAATTTTATTTTCTGCTTTTTTTTTTTTTTTTAAATAACACCTAAAGTTTATTAGATGACAGCACACACAGGAAACGCAATAGTCGAGGAGCCTACTATCCGTTCCCAAAGGGATCATCCTAAGAATTGAGACCCAAGAGGCAAACCCCGGCAAAGGCCTGGTCTGCTGGCGTGTCGCTCGCGGTTAAAAGGGCTGCCTGCAGCTGGCTGGGGCCCCAGTTATGTGCAAACTCATGCTCTTGCGCAGCAGCGTATTTTCTGCTTTGTATTCCTAATTTCAGTTTCCCAAATGTTCCTTTTTATTTTTGAAACTTTTTTTCCTAAAAAAAAAATCCCACCAATATCCATTTCCTTAAGTCGGAACATTTTTGCTACCAGCCTCTTCATGCTGGTAATTATTTCAGAGTTCTGTACATGGTATTACAGGAGCTCTGTTGGCGCAGTGGTTAAAGCACTCAGCTGCTAACGGAAAGCCTGATGGTTGGGACCCAGCAGTGGCATGGCAGAAGGCTGCTGTTAGCTGGCTTCCCTGAGATCACAGCTTGGAGACCCTATGGGGCATCTGGCCATGGGGTAAGCCTGATTCCACGGGAGGGCGGCAGGCAAGTATGCCTTGCAGTGAGCCTCTCAACAAATACTGCTTTCGTCTCTGGATGACATATTCCATCGCTCTGACAGGAGAAGCAGACTGCTGAGTGGGTCCAAACGTGGGACTTATGATCAAAGATCTGTCATGTCAAGACTCGTCTTACCTCCTCCAAAGCTTGGATCAGCTGCACGGTTTTCCTGCCCGCAGCGGTGGAATCGTCATAGTTTAAAGACAAGATCTGTTTTGAGATCTCTCGGAACCAAGCTTGAAGATTTTCTAGTGATACAGAAAGAGAGAAAAGTGTTCTGTAAATCCAGAATTCCTGTCAAGGCAGCTGTGAGTTCAAAAGAAGAATCCTTTACAAATCCCCTGCTTACTCATCGACCTTCCACCAGATGACTAGCACGGCTTTCAGGAATCCCCCAGACAACAGCATTAACAACTGAAAGACGTGGGCATGTGACCTAGGAGGAGAAACGACACTTCCTACACGAGTGACCTACTCTAAAGGGTGGGGCAGGATGAGAGGTCCCAGTTACATGCTCCAAATATCTGCAGAATATGGTATAAACGACATGTGCAAGTCCTTGTTATAAATGGTACATGCAAGTACATGTTACAGATAACGTGTTAAGTGGGTGCTAGACACACCATGTGTAAAGGTGGCAGTGATGCTGGGGAGGACTGGAAGGGAACTAAATGCCAGCGTTCCTGGGGAGAATTTTCTGGAAGAATGAGGCAGCAGGGTACACACTGGAGGGGCAGCGATGGAGAGAGGCAAAAAGACAAGCATGGTTTTGGGGCCAGAATGTCAAGTACAGATCTGAAGGTGCAGAGAGAGGCCCACCGGGGCAGGACTGGAGGTCTGTGGAGAGTTCTGGGAGGGTCATGTGGAATCACAAGCAGGGCAGCAGTTCACAGGGAAGGATGTCCCTGTGCTCCCAGTCCCCTCCACGTGTCGGGTGAAGCTCCAAGCTGAGTCTCATTTAATCTTCACACTCTGTGACTCGGACTGCTGGACTTCACAGAATGAAGATGTTGATGAGCAGAGATATCAAGAACCCCATCTATGAAGCAGATGTCCTCTTCCAAGGACTGGTCCCTCCTGACCACATGCACAAAGTATGTGAGACAGAGCTTCAAATTTCTTGCCTCCAAGGAGCGGCCTAGTTTCACCCTATTCAGGATAAACCTGTTTGTTCTCTTGGCAGTCCAAGGTATATCTGATACTCTTCTCTAGCACCACAACTCGAAGGCATCATTTCTTCGGTCAACTCCTGGCTTGCTGAGATTAGTCCTTGGAGAAGGACATCATTCCTGGAAGGGTAGAGGGTCAGTGCAGAAGAGGAAGACTCTGGATGAGATGGACAGACATAGTGACTGTGGTAATGGGAGAAGGTGTGTTGGAGATGGTGAGGTTGGCTCAGGATAGGGCAAGGGTCAGAGCCAACACCCTGTTCATTAAGGAGCCCTGGTGACCTAGTGCTAAGAAGCTTTGCTGCAATGCCAAACTCATGCAGTTCAAATCCACTAGATGCTCTGTGGGAGACTAATGGGCAATCTCCTTCTGTATGATTTACTGCTTCAGAAAACTCACTGGAGGGTCAGCTATGGGTTGGTTCCAACGTGACAGGACACAATAACAGCAATGTTGGATAGCATCTGTATTAGGAGTTATCATATTCTTCTGAGAAGATCATTCAAACGCACAGAGATGTAGGCACATAGTTTTATATACTAATAAGAGGGAAAGTTATGATTCTTTAAAACCTATTTATAAACTGAGCTCTGATGGCCTAGTAGCAAGAAGCTGCACTCAATCCTGACGCCATCTGGCTCGTGTCCACCAGCCACTCTGTGGAAGAAGGATGGGCAATCTCCTTTCACACAACTAACTGTCTCTGAAAACCTGCTGGAGGGTCAGTTATGGGTCGATTCCAACTCTAAGGTACACAACAATAATTTACAAGCTACAGAATGAGAATGCCGACTGACCCTAATCCCATCTTTCACAAATAAAGAATCTGGAGTCCAGAGAAGGTAACAACACTGGCTGCACCGTACAACATAAGAAGTAGCAAAAACAAAACTTGAGATCTTTATCTATCGTTGTTGCAAGCTGCAGTTACAGCGGGTCTGCAGAGCTAACATATGAGGGCAACATTGTGGCTTCTAAGGATGAAAGTGGGAGGCTTTCCCGCCTCTGAGAACCCGCTGGAGGCTCAGCTGAGAATCACTTTCTACTTGATGGCGCGCACCCCCACATGAGGACTCTTACTACGGCAGTTCCCCACATGCGCACACTTCAGACACCCCCACGCTCCCTATCCACCAGTTACCGTTTTTCTCCACTCTGGTGAGGGGTTTCACGCCTGAAAAGACGTCGGCCAGTTCTGTCATGCGCTCTGAGCCTTCCTTCTTGTAATGCTCCCATTTGGTTTGCTTTTCAGAAAGCATCTGCTTGAACATCTGAAGGGACGGAAATGACCGATTAACGCAGGAGAAACCCAAGTCAGGTGGGGTGCTGAGGGAGCCAGAGGGAACCTTGATCTCCTACCACACATCTACAGATACCCAATGAGCCTTGGTGGCACTCTGGCTAAAGTGCTTCACTTCTACCTGAAAGACTGTTGACCTGAACTGACCAACTGCTCTGCAGCAGAAAGGGCAGGCAGTCGGCGTCAGTACAAATTCATAGCCCCAGAAACCCCACAGGGCAGTTCCCCTCGGTCCTATACGGCCATCAAAATTGGAAGTGATGTGTCAGTAATAACTGAAGATTAATATTTAACATCATATCACCCTTTAGTTCTGCTTCAGCCCCTTCAGGAGCTCCGGCTTCCCTTCTTAGGGTTAGGACAGGTCGTTCCAGGTTAGAACAGGGTCCTGTTTCTGGCTCTCAGAGAACCACATTCTTCTCCTTTGAAGCACATGCCAGGCTGTGTTTGCACATTCACTAGGGAGTTGTTTTGACTAACACTCCTTTTCCTCATTAGACTGTAGCCTCCACAGCCTAGTGCGTGTCTGCCCCTCACGACACCCCTACTTTGCAATCACTTGCTACTCGTCAGAGAGCTGGACAATGAAGGAGGATGACAGAAGAACTGATGCCTTTGACCTGTGGTGCCAGAGAAGAATACTGACCACCCCTTGGACTGCCAAAAGGAGGAACAGGTATGTCTTGGAGAAAGTACAGTCGGAGTGCTTTCTGGAGGCAAAGATGGTGACGCTTCGTGTCTCACATGTTAGACATGTCGGTAGGCAAGACTGTCCTTTGGAAAGGGACAGATGGATTGACAGAGTGACTTCAGTGATGGGCTCTAGTGTGTCAGAGCTGATAAGGAAGGCAGAGGACAGGGCCGGTTCAGGTCTGTGATTCAGTGTTGCGATGAGTCATACTCACCTGGATGGCACCCGACAACGACGACATACCCTACTGATTATTACTGCTATAGGTGCCCTCGAATACGACTCACAGTGCCCTGTGAACAACACTTATGAACTCGGTCCTATCCTGTACCATCCTCATCATCTCTGACACACGTGAGAGCAGGCCTATAGCAAACGCTCATGCCTGTCCTCTTTCTCCAAGGAGTCTGCAGTCTGTAGCTTATATCATAGAGACACAGCCTCGAAATCTCTTGTTGTGCTTGTTAGGTGCCATCAAGTTGAGAATGACTTGCAGCGATCCTATGAACAAAAGATCTGAACCCAGTCCTGTCCTGCGCCATCCTCACACTTCCTGACACACAAGAGCCCACTGCAGCAGTCACCCTGTCAATCCACCTGGTTGATGGTCTTCCTCTCCTTCGCTGACCCTCCACCCTTCCCAGCATCATGTCCCTCTCAAGGAATAGCACCTCCTAGCAATATGTCCAAAGTATGTTGAAATCTCTTACATATTTAAATGTTGTTGTTGTGTGCCATCGAGTTGCTTGCGACTCATAGCGACCCTATGTACAAGAGCTCTATACGCTCTTCTATCCTGTGCCAACCTAGCCATATCAAACGCACTTATTCCCACCTCTCCACTCACAGAATTGATCCATTTCATCAAAGGTCTTCCTCTCCGGCGCTGTCCCTCCACTCTTCCAAACATGATGTCCCTCTCCAAGGACCAGTCCCGCCTTGCAACATGCCCAAAATATGTCAGACGAAGCTTCAGAATCCTTGACTCCAGGGAACATTCTGGCTTCACCCTCTCCAGGACAAACCTGTTTGTTCTCCTAACAGTGCATGGTATATTCAACACTCTTCTCCAGCACCACAGCTCAAAGGCATCAATTCTCTTTCTATCAACCCTATGGGCATTTAGATATGTAAAAAAAACATACACATATGTATACACACACATACTCACAGACTTGGGCACTTATTTGTAGGGTAGTTTTACCTCTTTAAGTGTGAACTCAAACTGCGCAGTATCTAGCAGCAACTGGAAGAGGACCTTGGGGTTGTATCTAGAATCTGTAAGAATTTGGTCCTTGATTTGACGAAGGCGTTTGTTGTTTGGGTCATAGGCTAGACATGGGAAGAAGAGGTGTCAATTTATTAGATGGACAGAAAACATCTATGAATTACACAAAACATTCTGGGTTTCAATCATTCCACGCATTTGAGAGTTGGAAACAAAAGATACACCACTGACAGAGGAGATTAATGGCAGGGCGCCAGGCTATAGCGCACAGCTCAAGTCTGGTCACGTGGTCTGACAAGGAAGACGGTCTGAGGGATTGCTGAGTGAGCAAAACAAGGTGCAGATTAGGACATCACATTTTGTTAGCATCAGGGGAAATGTGTAACTATATTTTGCATACACCTAACAGACTCCACACATATACACGCATATAACATGTGCATGTAGTTTGTATAAACATGGTGAAAGGACACGAAGAAAACATTCACAGTATTTTTTACGTGGTTACCACCCGGGAAGGGCTAGGAGGTGTGACGTGGGAGCAGGATCAGAGGCAAGGCAGCCACGGGCTTTCACCTCTGCTTGTCTCTACTGTGTATACTCTATTCCGTGTGCAGGTGTAATTTCAAAAGCACAGCAATGCTCAATCAAAGCAAAAATCAAACCCACTGCCACTGAGTTGAATTGGATTCTCAGCAACCTGGTCAAACACGGTAAAGCTGCCTGGAGAGTTTCCAACACTGTGCACGTGTATGGGTTTGAACTGCTGACTTTTGCTGAGGAGCTGAACTCTTTTAATCACCATGCCAGCCCATTTTTCCTTCCCTGCCTCTCTGGCAGTGCCTATATTTCTAGGCCTTCCCAGGCTGACATCACAGGACGGTTGGCATGGGCTGAGTGGCGCTGGCGTGTGGGCGTGCGTTACAGGGTGCTTCGACACGTCAGTCACTGTGACACGAGTGGAAAGTAATTTTTTTTTTTTTTTTGAAAGTCATTTTAAACACTGACTGCTAAGTGAGTCCACTGGGGCGGGGAGGGGGATGGTTCTCCAGAGTCAGTTCTGGAAGGACTTTTGTGGAAGGTCACAGAGATCAAACTCCTAAGGTTAGTTCTGAGTCAGTAAGGGACCATTTGGCATTAACTGGCTTTCACTTTTGGAGAGAAGGAGGAAGAATCTAGCTGACAGAAAAATAAGGGACTGATGAGACCTTGTAATCAATGAATTACACTTATCAGTGGTAATTAATGTTATAAAACGAAACGTCAATGAATGATTGTATGGAAAACCAATGTGGTTTGTAAACTTTCACTCACATTAAAAAGAAATAAATTTTTAAAAAAGGGAAAAAATAAAGGCAGCAGAAGAAAACAAAACAAAAAAAAATGAAGTCTGAATTCCTCAGTGAGTATTAATCATTAAATAGCCAGTTATCTCCTGAGCAGAAGCCAGGCTTGGAGCCAACGTTCTCAAGGCCTGATCATCTCTTTACTATCAGACCATCAAGAACTGGACCCAGGCAGAGAAGGAAGAACAGACCGTACAAGCGTGGTGACCTCGGGAACAGTCATTAACAGCTGATGCTGCCTCTGTGTGCTTCCTGGGCACCGCAGAGCCCAGGGGCAGTGGCTCTGGGCGAGTAACAGCATTGGACTTGGCGTCCCTCCTGCGCACCACGACCAAGATACCATAAATGCCTAGGAGGTAGTGACTTCTCTACCTGTGACTCAATCAGACAGACACCTCACCTGCTCCTCCTGCTAAGCTGCACTTTGCAATCAGGTCAGACAACTGTCGGGCACAACAACGAAAGCAGATGTGGCAGATGACAACGGCGGGGGCCCAGCTGACCCGGCACGGGCACACGGCGGGCTTTCTGCAGGTTACCTGAGTCGGCTGTATGAAGCATTAGCCACCGGATGGCAACGTTGCAGTCCCTCAGGCAATTCAGGTGCCGCGGGATGTTGTCCAGAACCACCTCCTCCCGCAAGTAGCCTTCTTTCAGAAACTGCTGCAGCTGGGCATGTGCTCTTTCGCTGACAGTAGCGTATCTGCTTGCCTTTGGAGGAAAAAACTGGAAGTAGTGTTCACAGAAGGAATGAATTACCAATTTTCAAAATGAATCACATTCAAATGAATCCCTTGCCCAAGGAACAGCATCTCGCGAGGAAGTGATGCACGTCCGGATACCTGGGCTACAGCTAATCAGGCTCAAAGCAAACTGGTTGATTAGATTATTCCCCACCCCACCCCACCCCACGCCTTTAAAATTTTTTGTTTCAGTAAAGGTTTGTATAGCAGTTTGGGTTCAACAATTTCTACACAACTTGTTCAGTGCCACTGATTCCCTTCTTCACACTGTGTTAACATGTTAGTATTCTCACTATCTGCATTCTGGTTATTTCATGTCATTTACATCGCACCCTGCTCCCTACATTCTCATCTGGGTTTTAAGGTCATTGGTGGCGTGTGGTCTCATACAGTAATTTTAAAAGGAGCATAGTACTTATGGGAGATACTTAATAGTTTTAGAGCCAGTTTGTTTCTTAGCTACAAAATGACTTCAGGGATTGCATTCAAGTCTTGAATACTACCTTTAGGAGAGTCTTCCAGTGTCTGCTACTCCAATACAACTACTATTTTTATATTTTTTTAAGTAACCTGAGGTGGTGTTTCACATTTGTCTTCCACTCCATCAGGGTCCATCTACTGTGGCCTTGGTTAGAATAGCAGTGGCAGCTGGGCAGCATCTGCCTGTTCTGGTCTCAGAGTGGACCACGGCTCACATAGCCTATGCGCTCTGTAGATTGGTTTCTTCAATGAGTTTCCTTTATCTTTTGCTCCACATGAGTAGAGACCAACAGCTGTATCACAGATACAACACTTTTAACAAAGCACCAAGTCTGGAACTCGGACACTAAATCCTAGTTTTGGTTGCAGTAAAATAGTGGTGTGACTTTTAGGCAACCTTTATGCACTGGTTTCTTTAAATGTCAAATGGAGAAATGGGAAAAAACGAAAACAGGAGCTGCACATAATCGTGTAAGCAGCTTTGCCCACGAGGACATGGTCTTTAAGTAGGGGAGCCCGCTGGGGCGCGAGATCACACTGACTCATCGTGGATGGTGACTTTTGCTTCGGCCCTAAGTCTCCACTCTGTAACACCACATAATTAAAGGACCTGATAGGTCCTTTCTGTTCTTAACTTGATGACAAAAAAGACTGACGCGAAATTGTCTGCCTTTCCTATTCTTGACCAAGGAAGCAGAGGCAGACCAGAGCAGAACTAACACAGTAACACTTCTGTAAGAAAGCTTAATGAAACAGCACACTTCAGTATTTCAAAATTAAATTTTCAAATATCGTTTTGAGAATCTGTTTATTCTGCTTCACTAAAGAATCGAAAAAAGCTTTAAATGTTATTAACCCAGAGAAGTTAGTTTAAAATTATCACTGAGTGTTTCATGAGAAGCCTGAATAAACTTCGTAAGATGTCACAGACGAGAAAATACAAATGTGGAAAATGATGTCAATAATGAAAAATTAATGCTCTGATGCCAGTAAGTATAGGAGTTCTACCTTTCTGTCTAATACATTCCTAGGAGATATGCCTGCATTGAAAGTACTGTGTGCATTATTTATGGAATTAAATTTATTTGAAGAAAACCTGATAAAGTATTTAGGGAGAACATTTTCTAACCACCCTGGAAACTCAAAGATCCAGGCACTCAGGCTGGGACACTTGGGTTCCAACATATCAATTATGCTCCCCAAGGAACGACTGGATGTTTATTCTTCTATTACACAGCTATTTCCTTGGCTTGTCTTCTTGCCAAGGAGACAAGATGTAGGTATCTAAGTTTCGAGGACATGAATGAACTGAGTCATGTTACTCATTCATCATTTAGCCTGTTAGAGATGGTGACTTCACGGTGTCGTGTGCATTCAGTTACTACAGTCAACATTCATCCTACTGATAAAAACAGGAGCTGCACATATGCGTGTAAGCAGCTTTGCCCACGAGGACATGGCCTTAAAGTAAAGTAGGGAAGCCCGTCGGGCTGCTAGATCACACTGACTCATTTTGGGATGGTGACTTTTCCTTCGGCCCTAAGTCTCTACTCTGTAACACCACATAATTAAAAAATCTATAATAACCTAGCAAAACTCACTGCTCATTAACCTGTGAACTGAAATGTCTATGTGAGTGTCTTCCAAGTTCCTTGGGAAATCTATTGAGCTTGTTTTCTACCTCACAGAAGACTCATGGGTATTAGAGAACTCCCCCTGGTTAACCAGCACCTACCTGTTCTTTGACATTGGAAAGGTCCAGAGTGTTGTTTAAAGCTGTTTTTGCAGCTTTGTAAGGCTCCCAAACATCTGCAAGATTGACAGTGATTCCCATGTAAATACTAATTACCTGAAAGAGGAGAGAGCTACTTAGTATTTCTTAAACACTCATTCCCTTTTAAGAGCCCTGGTGTCTAGTGGATTGAGTGTGGGGCTGCTGACAGAGGCTGGCAGTTCAAATCCACCACGTACTCCTCAGCAGAAAGCGAGGCAGCAGGCTTTGAGAGCTGTTCACAGCTTTGGAAATCCCACGAGGCAGTTCTACTCTCTCCTTTAAGGTTGCTCTTAGCCAGAAGCTATTCCAGGGCAGTTGTAGGTTACTTACTCACTTCAAGGTAAGGAACTATGAGAACATGTCATTACAAAATATGTGGCCCATCTCTGTAAGTTAAAGATAGTTGTTGTTGTGTGTGGTTGAGTTGAAACCGAACCACAACTCCAGCAGGTTTTCAGAGGCAGTAAATAGAACGGGAGGAAGCTGCCTATCCTTCTCCCGCAGAGCGGCTGGGTACTGGTGCAGCTTCTTACCACACAGACACCAGAGCCACCAGAGATTTGCTCAAACCACAAAGGAAAAACAAGGTTTTCCAAACACACAAGTAAGCATCCTTTCTTTTCAACACTTTAGAACAAAAGAATGGTTACGACGCTATTCATTGAAAAATGACCAGACCAGGATTCTCCTTTCTTTTCAATCTGCTACCATGTTTTCACAGCTGTGAATTATACTCTCCGGACCATGACCTTGCACGGGACTAAACATGCTTGATTACAGCACTATATTTAAAATGTCTTTAATAAATTTAGGCCCATGAGGCTCGGCTGTCAGAGGCCTCCTGCTTAGGGAAACTCCAAGCTGATGGCTCCTTTGAGCACAGGAACCCTGGTCTCCTACTAGAAGGCTGCTTTTCTCCTCCCAGTAAAGGTCGTCACACAGATCCCTCAGGACAGATAATAATGTGACAAAGTATCTGGTAAAAAGTGGGAAAAAATTGGCTGAGATTATGCCTACCCTTCAAATGCTGCTGTTATCAGTTTGGTGCCCTTTGTTAAATTTGTGTCTTCTAGGTTGCAACACCCCCATGATACATCTTCAAGGATATGAACATGTACGGCTAAGCACAATTAATAACAGTGCATCTAAA